AACGCTGGAAGTCAGTAGCAGACGGGCCCTCTACTGACAGGTCACGCCGCTCGCCCGACCCAACCGACCCTCACCGAGTGATTGTGCCGGTTCACGCAATCGACCACACCCGGCCGAATAAGGAGGGTACCACGGTAGACAGCCCTATACTGCTCAGTGGGAAAATTGGGACGGACTTAGTTAAAATCTTCGTAGACGGGGGAGCCAGCCACAGCCTCATTAACACTGCTACAGCACGGAAACTGCGACTGCCACTGGACAGATGCTTACCTGAGATCGACGCACGACTGGTAGACGGCACGCCGCTGGCAATACGGGAACGCGTAGACCGAGTCCGGATTCGATGCGGGGGTAACTTCACGTTTAGTCAGGAAATGCTCGCAACGACCCTCGACGGAACCGACATTTTACTCGGGCGTGATTGGCTGCGACGACACAATCCGCGAATTGACTGGACGACGGGTGACTGCACCGTGCGAGTAAACGGTAACAACATCGCCTTACCTCGCTGGGGCTCGCCTGAGTCTTCGTCGGTGCGTGTCAATGCGATCACGATGAAACGCGCTGTAGCGGCCGGAGCTGACGTGTACGCGGTTGACATTCGGGAAGCCGAGGCAGCAGACAAGGGGGGCGATTTACAGAAACTGCTGACCGACGTACCGAGTGACCTGGCGGCACTGTTCAAACAGTACAGTGACATTTTCCCGGACGACTTGCCGACGGGACTGCCACCTCAGCGACCGCACGATCACAGGATAGAACTGGAACCGGGGGCACAGCCAACAGTACAGCGACAGTTCCGACTGACCCAACCCGAACTAGACGAACTGAGGAAGCAGCTCGATTACCTGCTCGAGAAGGAATTCATTCGCCCTAGTTCGTCGCCCTTCGCCGCACCCATACTGTTCACACCGAAAAAAGACGGGGGGTTTCGCATGTGTATCGACTACAGGGCACTGAACAGGGTTACCATTAAATCCCGTTACCCCATCCCACGAGCCGACGAACTGATCGACCAACTGCGCACAGCCCGGGTTTTCTCGAAAATTGACCTCCGGGGAGGCTACCACCAAATCCGCGTTAATCCACCCGACTGCCCTAAAACCGCATTCCGAACACGCTACTGATCCTTCGAATACACCGTCATGCCATTCGGATTGACCAACGCCCCCGCCACCTTCCAAATGACCATGAACGAAGCATTTCGCCCGCTTTTAGATAAGTGCGTCATCGTTTATCTGGACGACATACTGATTTACAGCCCGGACAGAGCACAGCACTTACACGACATCGAAGCAGTTTTTAAAATCCTCAGTGAGAACCGCCTACTGACCAAAGCATCTAAGTGTGAATTTTTACAGGACCGCCTGGAGTTTTTGGGACATGTTATTTCAGCTGCAGGAGTGGAAATAGACCCGAAGAAAATTGCGACGATTCAGGCTTGGCACGCGCCGACCAACTTGACCGAGTTGCAGAGTTTCCTGGGGTTCGTCAACTACGTGCGCCGGTTCGTCCCCGACATGGCGAAGTTGACTGCCCCGTTGACCGACCTGCTAAGGAAGGGGGTTGAGTACACGTGGGGGGAAAAAGAGCAAGCTGCCTTCTCGGCCCTAAAAAATATTTTGTGCTCCCCGCCCGTCCTTCACATTGCAGATCCCCACCGTCCGTTCGAACTCGTCACCGACGCAAGTGACATCGCTGTGGGAGCAGTACTGTTGCAGGACTTCGGGAACGGCCTCCAGCCAATCGCGTACGAGTCCCGCAAACTGCACCCGCCCGAACGTAACTACCCGATACACGACCGCGAGATGCTAGCGATCGTGCACGCGTTCAAAGTTTGGCGGTGTTACCTGGCTGGCGCCGACGTGACAGTACGGACAGATCACCGCTCGCTACAGTACCTCCGCGCACAACCGAATCTCAACCCACGACAGATTCGCTGGTTGGACTATCTCGAGTCCAATTTTCACTACACCGTCACGTACAAAAAAGGAGCATCCAACATCGCCGACGCTCTCACCCGCCCCACCGCCCAACTCCACGCCATCCTACTCGCCCAGACCAACCCGCTTTTAACTGGCCTATTCACCCACGGATACCGCACCGACCCATTTTTCACGACCGGAAATTCACAGCAACTGGCAGAAGCAAAAGGAGTCTATTACGTAAAAACGGGCACCAACCGCATTTGGGTACCCGCGTACTCACTACTGAGGGAGCTGCTACTGCAGGAGGCACACGACGGGATTACCTCGGGACATTTCGGGGTCGAAAAAACGCGACAGCAACTGCAGCGGTATTATTACTGGCCGGAGCTGTTGACCGACGTACAGCAGCACGTGGGCTCGTGCCCGACGTGTCAGGTGATGAAGAGTTCAAGGAAGCGGAAGGCGGGTCAATTGCAGCCGATCCCACCGCCCGAACGCGCCTGGCAGCAAGTAACCATGGACTTCGTCACAGGGTTACCTTCGAACCCTGGGGGTAACGACGCAGTGATGGTCGTCGTGGATAGGCTGACGAAGATGGCACACTTCGCTGCGTGCAAAAAGTCGATCTCAGCCGAGGAGACCGCGCGCCTGTTCATCGCAGCCGTTGTTCGCCTGCACGGGATACCAGCAGCAATCATCAGCGACAGGGACACGAAGTTTACCAGCAACTTCTGGAAGAACCTCTGGGAGCAGTTCGGGACCAGGCTACAGTTCAGTTCGTCGTACCACCCCGAGACCGACGGCCAAACGGAGCGGACGAATCAGACGATGGAGCAGTTGATTCGTGCCACGTGCGACGACCCCACGACCTGGGAGCAGCAACTGCCGCTGATTGAGTTCGCGTACAACAACGCCACATCAGCCACGACGCAGCAGTCCCCGTTCTACCTGAACTATGGGCAAAACCCCACAGTGCCCATGACGCCGAGTCCGGACAACCCAACGCCATGTGCACAACAATTCGCCGAAATCCTGCAAGCTGCCCGCACCAGAGCCGCCGAAGCAATAAAAAAAGCCAACGTCATAGCTAAGCGCAACGCTGATCGCCACCGCCGTCCTGTCACGTACCAATCCGGAGATTACGTGCTGCTCGACACGCAAAATCTGCGACTGCCCGACGTACCAAAATTACGACCGCGCTACTGTGGACCATTCCAAATCAGTCACATGATCACACCCGTCACTGCACACCTACTGTTGCCAACCGACTGGTACATTAGCCCTTCGTTCCACGTCAGCCTACTTCGCCCATACATCCCGACCACAAGCCAACTGCCGCGTCACCGGCCACAATCAATGACTCGCCCTGCATCAGAGCCGGTCATCGAGCCCGAAAAAATTCTGAGCCATCAGATCCGCCACCCCACGGGAATCAGGAGGATTGAATTCCTCGTTCGCTGGAAGGACCGCACGCCAACTGAAGATCGCTGGGTGCCCCTGAGCAACATCGAAAATCACCCTGCCCTGCAAGTGTACCTGAGGAGCCGGGGATTCCGCGATATACACGCACTCGCGTAGCGGAGGGGGCTTCTTTAGGGGGGGGGGTAGTGTAAGGAATTTCCTCGGCATTCCTTACGGAGCCGACTACATCGCGTACAGCAAAACAGCCGATTGTTCGCCCGTTACTGCTAACGGAACTTCGCCGACTTCGCGCGCACTGTTTTGCCAAACCTCGCACTGCTGGCATGGCCGCATCGGCCTACGCTTCGGGACTAGCCCGAGCCTCGCTCCAGCGTAGCACTAGCCAGCTCGCACGCACCGCGTTACCGTTTTGCATGTTTCGCGTATAAATGTTCGCTCATGCCTTCGCTCACATTTTGTACTCGTTTGACACCTTAGTGCAATTCTCGCTACCTCGATTCATTGCACCCGTAACATGTACACAGGGTCTCCCCAATGTAGGTACATAGTGCATACCATCATGTTCTTGGAATGTCAGTAGATAATCTGCCATTATCCAGCTGGTAATCCGTAAGCAAGTTTCCGGCATTCGGGATGTCTAGTACGATTAAAAAGGGGGTGAAGTCATTGCACATGGTACAACTGAAATAATCAGGAAGTTCCAGCAATCAGCATTGCGAATGTCTTGCACAGTAGTTATAGGTAGCAGTCATGAATGATTGGTCATCATAAAGCATCGGATGCAATGAGGACGAGCAGGGCAGTCCATCCGGTAAATGGATGTGCTCCCTTGCCTTTGCCATCCGCTGTATTGTCGTACTGCTCCCAGAAATACCCACTCTCCTCGTACCGTTCCACAATGTTCCTGCCAGCCAGCAAATGGTGGTGCACGGCACGGTGAAGAGCACGGAGAACCAAGGAAAACCCCAAGAGCTTGATAGCTAGTGAAGGCAGTGGGTGGCATTACCTGACGAGGTTGAAGCGCAGCTCCCGGTACAGCTCTGCTGCCCTGCCCCTGTGTGGCCCTGCCTCTGCGGGTGAGTGGGGAAGGGAAGCATGGGTGACGAGGGAGGAAAGAACGGGTCACGAGGGAATGAAGAAGGTCACGAGGGAAGGACTTTGCGAAAGAAGCATGCATATGCGGACGTGTGTGCACATGTGCATGCATGTGTGTGTGTGTGTGTGTGTGTGTGTGTGTGTGTGTGTGTGTGTGTGTGTGTGTGTGTGTGTACAAATGCAGACATTTATGAGTGAGTGTGTGCACACGCCCGTGCACGTGTGTGTGTGTGTGTGTGTGTGTGTGTGTGTGTGTGTGTGTGTGTGTGTGTGTGTGTGTGTGTGTCGCGCGTGCACGTGCGCACACATGTATGTGTGTTCACGCTCACGGCAATGCATGAGTCTGCAGGGTTCCATATATACGTGTACGCATGCACTAGAAATGGAAGGAGGGAGGGGACGGACAACGGTATGCCATGAGAGTCAGAGAGAGATCAGAACCCATCTGATTCAGGATGACGATTCACAGAAGAACCTTGCACAGGGCAAGGTTAGAACTGATGATCGCACTCCTGAGGTCAGCAGCACGGCACACGAGGGCGCGAGCACAAGAGATCAAGGGAGGTGGTGGCCCACCCCGGGGGGTGAGGGCGTACGGGTGGAGTAGAAGCGCAGGGCGGAGAGTGCAAGGTAGTTGATGTTGATCCACACGGGCCCCCGCCAGTACGGCGGGTCGTGCTCCGTGTTGCGCCGCATGTACAGCGCGCTGGGGGAGGGGCGCACGTGCACAGCAGCAGTGGAAGGTTGCGCGGAGACAAGGAGCTGAGCATGGTTGCTGGTGCAGCGAGCATGAGCACGAGCATGGGCATTGACGAGAGCATGGCATGGCATGGGCATGGGAATGGGTATGAACATGGACATGGACATGGACATGGGCATGGGCAAAGGCATGGGCGTGCGCATGAGCATGAGGAGGCGAACTCGTACAATCACATCGATGCTGATACCCGCGCCGAGCTGAAAGATTTGCGCACCGTGGTGCAGCGTATTGAAACGCGTCTTCGTATTTCCGATGAGATCCATGAAACGTTGGCTTCAACGACCAAGAGTCTGCTTGAAGCCGTACACCAACCGAGCTGGTGTACCGAGAACACCATGGAGGTGTGTTCCTTTTGTGTAAGATTATCCGTTTTTCCAGAACTTTACTAATCGTGTTTTGTCCGTGTGTACTCGCAGGAGGCAATGAAGAAGGCGTGTGATGACCTGCTGAAGGGTCCAGACGTCGAAAAGTGCGTCATCTATCCCGTGGAGGAGCTGTTTAAGGATGCCGTCATCAATCACATCACTTTGGAGCCTGACGACCTTGGCAAGTTCAACGACTACTGGAAAAAGGGTGAATGGACTAAAAAATGTTTTGAAGCTTGCAACAGCCGCCAAGGGAAGGTAGGTTTCAATTCATGGAACGCATCCTTCGCGCTACTCACGGACCCCGAGGGTGAGGAGGTTCAAGACGACGTCTAGGCATGGGCGTGGGCATGTGCATGGGCATGTCCAGAGGCATGAGCAAGAGCAGCAGCACCATGGCCGTCGGCATCGGCTGCGGCATGGGCATACAATCTCCCCACCTGTCATCTCCCCACGCCCATGTGTGGAGTGGCACCTGGTGGTGGCGAGGGAGTGTGTCACCTGGTGGTGGCGAGGGAGTGTGTCACCTGGTGGTGGCGAGGGAGTGTGTCACCTGGTGGTGGCGAGGGATCGCAGGCCGAAGGGCGTCCAGAGCAGCTTCTCCTCGCGCAGCGCCTCCAGCTGCTGCCCCAACTCACTCGCGTGCTGCCCATGCCATGGGGGACGGGAGCGGACAGGCAGAGATGGGGCACCGAGATAACACAGCACGAGAGGACGGGCGAGAAAAGGGCAATGGGCGTGGAGGGGAAATAGGTTGGAGTGGCAGGGTGGACGGAATGAAAAGGAGCGGAACGGAACAAACAGCTTACAGGCGGAATCAAGCGCAGCAGCAGTGGGAAGAGTGAGACGTATCCAAAGTGTGGCACGAATCGCAGTGTGGGAGAGCCCTTGACCACGCGGCGCTGCTCCCGTCGCACGCTGTACGTGACGGGGTCCACCGCCTCCACCGCCTCCAACCGCACCTGGTGCCCCCGGGGCACACAACACGGCGCACAGCACGGCACCAAGCAGGGCAGGGACAGGGCAGCGGGCAGGGCGGCAGGCAGGGCATGTGGATATGGATGCGGGGAGATGGACACCTCTTGACCTCCTTTCACCTCCCCTCCGCTCCTCTCACCATTCAACTCAGCCTTCCCATGCATCACCCCTCTGCGCCCGTGCACCACCCCTCTGCGCCCATGCACCACCCCTCTGCGCCCATACACCACCCCTCTGCGCCCATACACCACCCCTCTGCGCCCATGCACCGCCCCTCTGCGCCCATACACCACCCATCTGCGCCCATACACCACCCCTCTGCGCCCATGCACCGCCCCTCTGCGCCCATGCACCGCCCCTCTGCGCCCATGCACCGCCCCTCTGCGCCCATGCACCACCCCTCTGCGCCCATGCACCACCCCTCTGCGCCCATGCACCGCCCCTCTGCGCCCATGCACCGCCCCTCTGCGCCCATGCACCGCCCCTCTGCGCCCATGCACCGCCCCTCTGCGCCCATGCACCACCCCTCTGCGCCCATGCACCGCCCCTCTGCGCCCATGCACCACCCCTCTGCGCCCATGCACCGCCCCTCTGCGCCCATGCACCACCCCTCTGCGCCCATGCACCGCCCCTCTGCGCCCATGCACCGCCCCTCTGCGCCCATGCACCGCCCCTCTGCGCCCATGCACCGCCCCTCTGCGCCCATGCACCACCCCTCTGCGCCCATGCACCACCCCTCTGCGCCCATGCACCACCCCTCTGCGCCCATACACCACCCCTCTGCGCCCATGCACCGCCCCTCTGCGCCCATGCACCGCCCCTCTGCGCCCATGCACCGCCCCTCTGCGCCCATGCACCGCCCCTCTGCGCCCATGCACCGCCCCTCTGCGCCCATGCACCGCCCCTCTGCGCCCATGCACCGCCCCTCTGCGCCCATACACCACCCCTCTGCGCCCATACACCGCCCCTCTGCGCCCATGCACCGCCCCTCTGCGCCCATGCACCGCCCCTCTGCGCCCATGCACCGCCCCTCTGCGCCCATGCACCGCCCCTCTGCGCCCATGCACCGCCCCTCTGCGCCCATACACCACCCCTCTGCGCCCATACACCGCCCCTCTGCGCCCTTGCACCGCCCCTCTGCGCCCTTGCACCGCCCCTCTGCGCCCATGCACCGCCCCTCTGCGCCCATTCACCACCCCTCTGCGCCCATGCACCGCCCCTCTGCGCCCATGCACCGCCCCTCTGCGCCCATGCACCGCCCCTCTGCGCCCATGCACCGCCCCTCTGCGCCCATGCACCGCCCCTCTGCGCCCATGCACCGCCCCTCTGCGCCCATGCACCGCCCCTCTGCGCCCATGCACCGCCCCTCTGCGCCCATGCACCGCCCCTCTGCGCCCATGCACCGCCCCTCTGCGCCCATACACCACCCCTCTGCGCCCATACACCGCCCCTCTGCGCCCATGCACCGCCCCTCTGCGCCCATGCACCGCCCCTCTGCGCCCATGCACCGCCCCTCTGCGCCCATGCACCGCCCCTCTGCGCCCATGCACCGCCCCTCTGCGCCCATACACCACCCCTCTGCGCCCATACACCGCCCCTCTGCGCCCTTGCACCGCCCCTCTGCGCCCTTGCACCGCCCCTCTGCGCCCATGCACCGCCCCTCTGCGCCCATTCACCACCCCTCTGCGCCCATGCACCGCCCCTCTGCGCCCATGCACCGCCCCTCTGCGCCCATGCACCGCCCCTCTGCGCCCATGCACCGCCCCTCTGCGCCCATGCACCGCCCCTCTGCGCCCATGCACCGCCCCTCTGCGCCCATGCACCGCCCCTCTGCGCCCATGCACCGCCCCTCTGCGCCCATGCACCGCCCCTCTGCGCCTATGCACCGCCCCTCTGCGCCCATGCGTCCCCCCACTGACCTTGTCGGTGTGGTTGCCGTAGTCGGCGTAGCGCTGCCTCCTGCCGTCCCAGTGCAGCTGGTGCCGTGGGAAGGGCGATTGCCCATCAGGAGGGGGGGGACACAAACATGGGACGGAGAAGTGAGGGAGACGAAGAGAAGGAGGGTGGATGGGCGAGGGGCGGAAGGGAACGAGAAGAGTGTGGGTGGGGGAGAGATAGTGGGGTGCAGAGTGGGGAGGGTGTTGGGCAGCCAGCTTCTGATTACACCAGCTGGCGTGGCTTCCCTCCAGCCCCCATCCTTACACTGAACCCTTACCCACCCCTTGTCAGTGCCTCACATGACAATCTGCCATCCCCTGTACCTGCCAGCCATGGTCACTCATGCATGCCCCTCCCACTGCAACTGGCTGCTCTCATCTCACCGCCCACCCATCTACCCTCCCACCCATCCACCAATGCATCCACCCACCCGCCCACTGCCCACCCAAGGGGCGTGGGTGCAAGAGGCATGAGCGCGAGGAGAGGGGTACCTCATTGAGGCGCGTGAAGTCCGTGAGCTGCTGGGCTGTCACCTCGTACTCCTGCATTCATGCGGTCACACAAGCATGCACTCATACACGCACACATGCACACATGCACGCACTCATACACGCAAATATCCACACACACACGCACTCATGCATGCACCCATGCACGCACAAAACACACATGCACAGTTGCAGCAAATGCAAGGAGTGGGAGTGAGGTTACTGCAGCGCAGAGGCTGAATAAAGAGAACAGGCCACGTTGCTGCATGCAGCCAACAGGCAGCCACATTGCTGCATGCGGCCAGCAGGCAGCCACATTGCTGCATGCGGCCAACAGGCAGCCACATTGCTGCATGCGGCCAACAGGCAGCCACATTGCTGCATGCGGCCAACAGGCAGCCACATTGCTGCATGCGGCCAACAGGCAGCCACATTGCTGCATGCGGCCAACAGGCAGCCACGTTGCTGCATGCGGCCAACAGGCAGCCACATTGCTGCTGTGATGTGAGGAGACAAGCTCGGCGAGATGGCAGCCCACAATCTCTCTGGCACACGCCCCCTCTCACCTGCACGGCCTCTCGTCTCACCTGCACGTCCTCCCCCACCACGCTGCCTATCTTGGCGATGGCAGCAGCAGCGGTGGCGAGCCAGCAGCGCAGGTCCACATGGCGCTCGTCCTCCGACGGGTGCGACGCACGTGGGTAGTCGTCCAGCCCCGACTGCAAGGTCTGGTGCCAGAGGGGGGGAGGGGGAGGACCGGGGGGACAAGGGCGGGGAGGGAGGGGGAGGACCGGGGGGACAAGGGCGGGGAGGGAGGGGGAGGACCGGGGGGACAAGGGCGGGGAGGGAGGGGGAGGACCGGGGGGACAAGGGCGGGGAGGGAGGGGGACAAAGGGCAAGGCGATGGAAGTGGCTGGGGTGAATGGATGGGTTGGAGTGGGGCGACATGCCGGCAGGGACGTACGGCAGGGCGGGGGGACAGTAAGGGAGCCTGACGAGTGGTGCAGCATTAAGGAAAGGAAACAAGAGATGACAACAAAAATAACCAGCAAGGAGAGCAGCAAGGAGGGCAGGAAGGAGGGCGGGGTGGGACTGGCCTTGGGGTTGAGCTCGCGCACAGTGCTGGCATCCCGCCCCCGCCAGTAGTAGCTTCCAGGCAGCTTCCCTGATCAAAGGCAGAGGAGGAAACAAGGAGGGTGGTGCATGAGAGAGCACAGCTGGCACCTCAACTTTCTTGCAGTGCCGCATGCCACCCACTCACCAACACCTTGGCAGCATGAAGTGCGGCTCACATGCTGTGAGGAGGGGCACTGTTCACATGAAGGGGGCGGCAGGGCAATGGAGCAATGGTGGTGGTGAGGGACCAAGACCCATGTGGGAGGAACCCCCTTCCTCTCACCGCAGCATCCCAGTGTGCCCTTGCATGCCATGCCCGCATTCCACCATCCCAGTGTGCCCTTGCATGCCATGCCTGCATTCCACCATCCCAGTGTGCCCTTGCATGCCATGCCCGCATTCCACCATCCCAGTGTGCCCTTGCATGCCATGCCCGCATTCCACCATCCCAGTGTGCCCTTGCATGCCATGCCCGCATTCCACCATCCCAGTGTGCCCTTGCATGCCATGCCCGCATTCCACCATCCCAGTGTGCCCTTGCATGCCATGCCCGCATTCCACCATCCCAGTAAGGCAGCGGTGAGGTGAGCTTCTGCTGCAACCCCTCTCATAGCGCTGCCCCTCTCATAGCGCTGCCCCTCTCATAGCGCTGCCCCTCTCATAGCGCTGCCCCTCTCATAGCGCTGCCCCTGCCCCTCTCCGCTTCCACCCACACATGTCCATTCGCAAGGTGCGGCGCAGCAAAGTGGAATGAAGAGGCGTGCCTAAGTGCCATCCCACACACAGCTTCCCACATGCGTTCTGCTTTTCACATCTGCCCAGCAGCAGTGAGCCGCCTGCCCTACCACACGCACCGGCCTGGGAGGAGTTGAACCAGCGGAACCACGCCTTGAGGCGCGGCAAGCATGCATGCAGGAACGACACCCGTTCACACCCCTCCGCCTCCCCGCCTCCTGCCCCCGCTCCCTCTCCCCCCCTCTCCTTCGGCACAAACGACCCGTTTGGCAGCCGATGACACGTGGCAGCACTGCGAGCTGCCAAATCAGCCATCTCTGTGGAGAGATGGGTGATAAGGTGAGAGGGAAACGGATTTCTGGGAGGCAATAACAAGGTAGCGAACAGCAAGACCAGCATCCAAGGTTCGTGCATCCAAGGTCCGTGCATCCAAGGTTCGTGCATCCAAGGTTCGTGCATCCATGGCAGCACAGCAAAGGCCATGACAAGCGCAAGCTATGTAGGTGGTGAAGTCCAGAGCAGGCAGACATGGAGAGCATACGGCAGTCAGAGAGCAAGATGTGCTGAAGAGCATTGATTCATAGCAATAGAGTCCGCCGAGGGGATGGGACGGGGTCGTTTGGTACGAGTGAGAAGGAGAACGAGGGCGAAATGCACTTGGAGTGCATACCAGTGAGAGGCAGGAAGAGCGTGGGCGGGTTGCCATTGGTCACATGCTGCTCTATGAACTCCTCCGGTACCTTGCTGCCCTTGCCATGGGGGAATGGAGGGTTGGGGGAGAGGGAGTGGGAAGCATTCAGAGGTGAGATGGCAAGCATGAGGACCAACCGGGAGTGAGCAGCAGTGGCGATGCATCCCCACGCCCCCCTCACCTGCGCGCCTCATCCCCACGCCCCCCTCACCTGCGCGCCTCATCCCCCTGCCCCCTCACCTGCGCGCCTCATCCCCCTGCCCCCTCACCTGCGCGCCTCATCCCCCAGGATCTGTTCTCGGGGGATCCAGCCGTCCACATTGAGCAGGTCCAGCCAGTGCCCCACCGCGTCCATCGCCATGCGCTCGTCCCACCGCCTGCCCCCATGCCATACCGTGCCGTCATGCCATGAAATGCACACACAGGGGGGTGGAAGAAAAGGGAGGACATCCATGGGCATGGTGCGCCGCGTGCCTGGCGCCTGAGTGCGACTCGGAGCGATTGACTGGAGAACCACCTGAGGGTGAGCTGGTGGAAGCCCTTAAAGCCACCTGGGCACCACCTTACAGTCAACTGATCCCGAACTGCTGGGGGGCCCTGAAGCCACCTGAGAGGCACCTGAGGATCACCTAAGCAAAAGCTTGTGGAAGCCCATAAAGGCACCTGAGGGCCACCTAAGAGTCACCTGAGGGCCACCTGAAGATCACCTGAGGGCCACCTGAAGGTGACCTGAGGGCCACCTGAAGGTGACCTGAGGGCCACCTGAAGGTTACCTGAGGGCCACCTGAAGGTGACCTGAGGGCCACCTGAAGGTGACCTGAGGGCCACCTGAAGGTTACCTGAGGGCCACCTGAAGGTGACCTGAGGGCCACCTGAAGGTGACCTGAGGGCCACCTGAAGGTTACCTGAGGGCCACCTGAAGGTGACCTGAGGGCCACCTGAAGGTGACCTGAGGGCCACCTGAAGGTTACCTGAGGGCCACCTGAAGGTGACCTGAGGGCCACCTGAAGGTTACCTGAGCACGAGCTGATGAAAGCCCTCGTCCCAGAGGAAGCCCCGAGGGAACATGGGCCGGCTGGGCGTGGCGGTGAACAGTGCCGCTGCCCAATACTGCCAGTAGGCCGCTGGGTCACTGGGGTCCTGGTGTGCGCACGGGGTTGTGGCGATTGGCGGAAAGAATGACGGGACGTTGAGCAAGGAGGCATGAGCAGCGCATGTGCACGGGCAGCGGTGGCCACGGCTTGAGGGACAAGCGGGCGCATGAAGATGACGATGAACGGATGAGGGGAAGAGATGAAGTGAGTGAACCACCCCATGATGGAGGCGTGATGGCAAGTACCTTAAGATGGGGCGGAATGGCGATGCGGGAGCGGCCGTGGAAGTACCCGATGCCGCCGATGAGGTTGCTCAGCGCTGCCTTCACCGCGTTGCCCACTCCTGGGATCTTCTCTGCCAGCTGGGCGGGCAGGCAGGGGACGGGTTGTGGCGAGGGGTAGGCACAGTGGCAGAGGGGTAGGCACAGTGGCAGAGGGGTAGGCACAGTGGCAGAGAGGACTCTAATGACCTCACACGGCCACAGGCCACTGGCACCAGAGAATGGTCCCTGACCTCGCACAACCACCCTTCCCCACAACCTTTCCTCTCCCTTCTCAACCCCCACTGCCACCTGCCGCTTCTCCTCACCTCAGGGACGACAGGGAAGGAAGCTTCCATGCGGCGCTCCACTGCCGCGTCTGCCTCTCCCATGCGCAGCGCCAACGCAGGGCCTGGTGTGGTGACGGACGGTGGAAGGACGGCAGCGGCGAAGCGGTGGGAGGAGAGGGGAAGAGGGGGGTTGCATGCGTGTGCGTGTGTGTGCTGTGCTGCTCATCATTCCGTTTGAAGACAAGGACTATGAGAGGCACCTGAGAGAAGGTTGAGGCGCCTGGTGGCTTGTTGTGACGATGATTGCGCAGCAGAGGCAGCGGGGAGGCCGGAGAGGAAGACAAAGTCCACCACCGCTGGCAGCCACACCGTCAGCTGTGGCCGGGGCGTGTGTGGGGTGGCGGGGAGAAGGAGATAGAGAGAGGGTGAGAGTCGAGCGAGAGGCGATGGATGGGTGGAGCGAGAAGCACATGATGCGGTGAAAAGGAGAAAGAGAGCAGAAACATGTGCACGGGTCGGGAGCACAAGCAGAGGCGAGCAGATGCGGTGCAGCAGATTGTGGTGGTGGAGTGGAGTGCAAGTGGACGATGCAGCTGCCTTGCCTTCACAACGCAAGACATATGAGGCAGCGTGGGCATCTGTATTGCACCTGGATGATGGCCACGTTGGCGCCCGGCTGTGCCTTGTTGCCCAGTGTCGGCTGCTGCGTGGTTTGGTACTGCCGGAGGGGGAAGGTGTGGGGAAGTATGCAAGGGTGGACGGGGGGGTGTGAGGAGGTAGAGCAGGAGGCTCTGTTGTAGAGGGAGACTCTGTTGTAGAGGGAGGCTCTGTTGTAGAGGGAGGCTCTGTTGTAGAGGGAGGCTCTGTTGTAGAGGGAGGCCACGGAGGAATGACAGCTCGGGATGCTCAGGTGCATGTGGGCACATGCAGATGATGGCAGCAGGGCGGGCATGAGAGCACGTACGTGGCGGATGAGGGCGGCCTTGACAGTGTCCGACAGGTTGTGCATGTGCCGCGTGTGCACCGCCTCAAATGTCGCCCCCGGCCCCTCCGCCTGCTGCTTGCGGATGGGAGAGGAGGGGGCATGGGGGGCGAGGGAAGAGGTTTGGGTTGAGAAGCAGCAGCGGCGAGCGTGAGTGCAACACACACACTGTCCGGCGCGCACAGGTGGCATACCTGCCAGCGTGCACAGGTGGCATACCTGTGTGACGGCATTCAGCTCCCACCGCCCAAACACATCCGACACCCCCCCCGCCACCACCACTGCCCGCTGCCCCCCTCGCCCCTCCGCCTCCTCCGCCCCACCCCCCTCGCCCATCAGCCTCCTCCCTTTCTTTCCCCCTCTCTCAACCCCTCGTCCCGCTCCACCCCTTCTTAAACCACTGCCCTCCACACTCCTCAACCTTCTCCCCACCCCCATCGCCTCCTCCTCCTCCTCCTCCTCATCCTCCTCCTCGTCCTCAAATCCCCCTCGCACCCACTCCTCGTCACCCTCCGCCCCCCCTCGCCCCGCACTGCCACTCGCACCCTCTCCCCCGCCCACCCCAGTGGCAGCGGCGGGGTGCAGCACGAGGCGGGCCACCTCGGCGGGCGAGGGCAGCGCCAGCAGCGGGGCGCCCGCCTCGTCCGCCACGTAGAAGAAGAAGGTGCTGCGGGAGGGAGGGAGGGGGGGGGGGGGAGGTGGGGAGGAGGGTCCGGGGGGAGCAAGAGGAACAGCCAGTGGGGATGAGAGAGGGAGGGGGAGGAGGAGAAGTGAGACGAGTGAGAACCGGAAGTGGTGTGTGGGGTGGAGGTGGGGAGGGAGAAGGAAGTGGGAGCAGGCCTCAACGTGGCAATAACTACTGTTGTCTCATAGGGGCATTGACTGGGCGTTGACTCACAAGGGCATTGACTGGGCGTTGACTCACAAGGGCATTGACTGGGCGTTGACTCACAAGGGCATTGACTGGGCGTTGACTCACAAGGGCATTGACTGGGCGTTGACTCACAAGGGCATTGACTGGGCGTTGACTGCGCCGCCCACCCTCTCACGGTTGAGGTCCACGGCCACGCGCACGGCCCAGTCACCCCCGTACCCCGTGCTGCCGTTGAAGGACTTGAGGAACGCCATGCTGAGGTCGAATGGGCCGTCCTTCACCTCCTGTGTGCAATGCACATGGGAACGAACTCACTCGGATGAGCACCACTTGAGTTCATGCCCTTCCTCTCCCCTATCCATGCCAATCCCATGGGCCCTGCACTCTCAACCCTCATGCCCTTCGTCCACTCCCACTCTCTCCCTCCCCTCCCAAGGTTTCTCCTTCCCGTGTCACCTCCCCATACCTGGCGGGCGTAGCGGCGGCCATCATGGCGCAGCCAGGAGTAGGAGTGCAGGACGGGGTCGTGCAGCTCACACGTGTGGCGGACCACAAAGTCGTCCTGCCTCGGCGCCCACCACATCACCCCCGCCACCACCGACTGGGGCAGGCTGGGGGGCGAATGGAAAGACAGAGACAACCGGCACGACACGCGAGGAATATGGGGGGCAGGACATGGAGGCAGCATGGGCAGGAGTGGAAGAGGAGAGGCCTGTGCAATGCAGGAATGCGCGGATGGTAAAGAGGGGAGTGGAGCGAGTGAGTGAGGAAGTGATGGGAAGAGGCACCGCACGCAGCAGCGGCACAGCGAGCAGCGTGGCAACCACAAGCCACAAGCCACAAGCCACCTCCTCCTCCCCTGCCGCCCGCACTGCACTGCTGACACGCTCGCCCCCTCTCCCTTCAGTGCCGCCCCCTCTTCCGCTACGGCACAGCACAAAACAGCACAGCACAGCGCAGCACAGCACAGCACAGCACAGCACAGCGCAGCACAGCACAGCGCAGCACAGCACAGCACAGCACAGCACAGCACAGCACAGCAGAGCAGAGCAGCCTACCGTGGGCGAATGCCGAGGTAGAGTTGCGGGCGGTAAGTTCCCCACAGCATCTCCTCCGCATACCCGCCCTTGAACTGCCCACACATGCCATGCCATGCCATGCCATGAGATGAGATGACGACACATGATGCAGCATGCAAGGTCATGCCATGTCATGGCAGCACACGATGGGAGGAGAGGGGTCAAGCCCACCTGCCAATGCATGTGATCCGCATGCCATTAGGTGCCATTAGGTGCCAACCGCAATGCGCCAAAGCATCCCATGAGGAACGTTTACCCATGCACGTATGCACATGGACCCATTCAATCATCCACCTGTACACCCGTGCATCCATGCACACACATGTGAAACGCTTCGCACGGTCGTGGGCGCGAGGAGCAGCGACGGCCTTGGGGAGGCATGACTTCAACGCCTTGCGCCGCTCCTGATCCTCGCATGCCACTTGCCCGTGCTTGCCATGCACTGCGTTGCCGGGATAACCATCCCAACCCCCTCCGACCGCCCGCACCTCACCATGGGGAGCACCTCACCATGGGAAGCATCACCATGGGAAGCACCTCACCATGGGAAGCACCTCACCATGGGAAGCATCACCATGGGAAGCATCACCATGGGGAGCACCTCACCATGGGAAGCATCACCATGGGAAGCACCTCACCATGGGAAGCATCACCATGGGAAGCACCTCACCATGGGAAGCATCACCATGGGAAGCACCTCACCATGGGAAGCATCACCATGGGAAGCACCTCACCATGGGAAGCATCACCATGGGGAGCACCTCACCATGGGAAGATCCGCCACGCGCGGGGCGTTGAGCGGCGTGAGGTGGCGCTGCTTCTCGGAGGAGCCGAAGAGCGCGTCGCCCCACGTTAGCACGACGATCACCGCCGCCGCGCATCCCGCAGCTAGCACAAGCGCAAGGACCGCCGCATTCCACGCCAGGTTTGCCGGGGCAGCCTTCCCTCGGTGCGGGTAGTGCGCCGCCCTGTGCGCCTGTGCACGCTTGCCCGCCGCGCCGCCGTCAGCGCGCGGGGAGGACGGGTCGTCTCCTCCATCCCTGGCACCGCGTCGCCGCGAGGGTGGAGGCATTGTGGAAGAAGCGCAGCAACACGAGTGGATTTAGGAGCCCGCTGGCCGTGGGGTCACTCGGGAGTGTCTGGTGGAGACTCGGATGGAATCGCCAGGCGTGGGCATCACCAGCTTCACATTCAATTCAATCACTCTGCGTTCCATGAACAGATCGCGATGTGAATGCTGTACTCGTTATAAAAGTACTGGTAAAAGTAATTCGATACTGTGTACATCCAAGAATACTCTCAAGAATATGGACTGTTATGAACGGGTGTTGTTCTGTGTCAAATAGGCCTTTGGATTGGATATACACACCGGTTGAGAAGATCTTTAATCCTGGAAAATTCATAACATTCGAATGAAATAATATGGCAATATGATATGCAATTACACGCACGAGGACCAAGTAGATACAGGTAAACGCCACTGGAAGTGCGAACCTGAGTTGCGCATGCATGCTGCATGAGAGCGTCATCCATGTGCACCCTCTGGTGGGCGAGGTGTTGTTGCACGGGCAGAGAACAGGCCCCCACATGAAGCTTGACCGAATCTCCATGCCAGAACGTGGTGAAAGTACTAATGTACAGCCAAGAAGTGCAGGTGGTCACGAGCCCATGTTTCCCCATGCTGCTGCCACCTCCACTCCCATGTCCACGGGTAGTCCCTTGTGAGGTGTTGCTCCGCCGCCTGCTGCCAGCCCACCGGGTGCCACCTCAGCGCCTTGCGTGCCGCTCACGGGAGCAGCTTGAGCAGTGTGAGCAGCAGCGTGAGTGGCAAAGACAGCGTGGGTGGGGCCCCATGGGGGAGGCAGTACCAAGGGGAGGTGGTACCTGGCAGGCAGACAAGGTCGTGATTAGGATACAGAGGCTGGTTAAGGGGCAGGAAGGGGTACAGACAGAAGCAGGAAAAGGAGTAGTAGGAAAGTAGCAAGAAACAAAGGACGATTGCAATGGCGGTGCAAGTACCAGGGGGGACGGATGGTGATGGCAGTGCCAGGCTGAATGGCAGGTGCAAGGGAAGCACCGACGGCAGGAGAAGCTGCAGCAGTGCCAGTAGCAGTGGCTGCAAACGGTGCGGAGCTGTTGAGAGTAGTGCTGCTGGTGGGGATGACTGCAAGGAAGGGCTGTGCCTGCTTCCGAAGAAGGTCGTCGTCTGGTATGTGGGGGTGGCGGGATGGGGGAGCATTGGGAGTGGAGGCGCGTAAGGGTGGAAGCGTGAGGAACACAAGCGGTGTGGCATGCAGAGGAGGGAATTCAGGAGAGAAAGAAGGGGAGGAAGGAGAAACAAAGAATGGGTACGTTTGCACACATTGTCTGCTATGACCCCTAATGTGAGCACTGGAAATGAGTGTGAGTTGTGAGAGTGAGTGTGAGTGATGAGGGCAAGTTTGACATGAGCACCACCCACCTGCGGCAAGCATTGCTGCTCGCGCCACATGCTCGTCTCTCCCTGCACCTCCCACACTCGCATCGCCTGCACCCCTGCGCTCACGCCATGCACCAGCAGCAGCAGCAGCACCACTAACAGCACTACCAGCACCGCGAGCATCCTGAGCAGCTGCCGCACCCCAGTGATCGCTTCCTCCTCCCCCTCCTCCGCCACTGTCTCCCTGCCCCTCCCCCGCATAACCCGTGCCAGCCTGGCAGCGCAGCTGACTCATGGGAGCAGACGTGGCACGCTGCTGGGCCTGCTGGCACAGGCACAATGCCACGTGGCCCTCGAAGCTCACACTGGTTACAGTCACATGCAAGTCACGCATCCCATCCCAGGGCGCATGCGCCTCTGCTGCATCTGCCCGTGCATACTGCACTGCCTGTGCACCGTGGACTGCCTCGTGCCCGCTGCCTGCCTCTGCCCTGTGCTGCTGCTGCTGCCGCTGTGCCGCCTCCAGGCGAGCCAGACGCGACTTGAAGGGCAGACTGAGTGAGAGGGAGAGGAAGAAAGAAAGGACGGGGAAAGAAAGAGGGGAGGGGAAGTGACGAGGGGGCTTGGAGCAAGAGAAGAGAAAGGTGTGTGGCGCACAGCAAGTGGCCAGTACCCCACATGTGGGCAACATGAAACCTTCGTACAGTCACCTGCATGCAGTCACCTGCATACAGTCACCAGCATACAGTCACCTTGCAGCGCCAGGCCCTCTGGGCTTGTTCCCTGCTGAAGCAGTAACGCGTGTTCTCGGGGTGGGTGGGGCACACGAGGGCGAGGGCAGCGGTGGCAGCAGCGAGGCGAGCGAGGTGTGGGGCGGGGGGAGGGCGGGCGGCATGAGCTGCAAGGAGGGGGGAGGAGGGGAGGAGAAAACGAGGAAGGATAAACGGCAAGGGAGAAGCCGGTGGTTCAAGGGAGGTGGGCAACGCAGGACAGTAAAAGGCATGCAGCCATGCGATCAGAGCGGTGCGCCGCCCGGTCAGTCCAACGCAAGACTGGGAATGGTCCATGGGTGGATGGTGCATGGTGGATGGTGCATGGTGGATGGTGCATGGTGGATGGTGCATGGTGCATGGTGGATGGTGCATGGTGGGTGGTGCATGGTGGATGGTGCATGGTGGATGGTGCATGGTGCATGGTGCATGGTGGATGGTGCATGGTGGATGGTGCATGGTGGATGGTGCATGGTGCATGGTGCATGGTGCATGGTGCAAGGTGCATGGTGCATGGTGCATGGTGCATGGTGGATGGTGCATGGTGCATGGTGGATGGTGGGTGGTGCATGGTGGATGGTGCATGGTGGATGGTGCATGGTGGATGGTGCATGGTGCATGGTGGATGGTGCATGGTGGATGGTGCATGGTGCATGGTGCATGGTGGATGGTGCATGGTGCATGGTGCATGGTGGATGGTGCATGGTGGATGGTGCATGGTGCATGGTGCATGGTGGATGGTGCATGGTGCATGGTGGATGGTGCATGGTGCATGGTGGATGGTGCATGGTGGATGGTGCATGGTGGATGGTGCATGGTGCATGGTGCATGGTGGATGGTGCATGGTGGATGGTGCATGGTGCATGGTGGATGGTGCATGGTGCATGGTGCATGGTGGATGGTGCATGGTGCATGGTGCATGGTGGATGGTGCATGGTGGATGGTGCATGGTGGGTGGTGCATGGTGGATGGTGCATGGTGCATGGTGCATGGTGGATGGTGCATGGTGGATGGTGCATGGTGCATGGTGCATGGTGGATGGTGCATGGTGCATGGTGCATGGTGCATGGTGCAAGGTGCATGGTGCATGGTGCATGGTGCATGGTGGATGGTGCATGGTGCATGGTGCATGGTGGATGGTGCATGGTGCATGGTGGATGGTGGGTGGTGCATGGTGGATGGTGCATGGTGGATGGTGCATGGTGGATGGTGCATGGTGGATGGTGCATGGTGCATGGTGCATGGTGGATGGTGCATGGTGCATGGTGCATGGTGGGTGGTGCATGGTGCATGGTGCATGGTGCATGATGCATGGTGGATGGTGCATGGTGCATGGTGCATGGTGGGTGGTGCATGGTGGATGGTGCATGGTGGATGGTGCATGGTGCATGGTGCATGGTGGATGGTGCATGGTGCATGGTGCATGGTGGGTGGTGCATGGTGGATGGTGCATGGTGGATGGTGCATGGTGGATGGTGCATGGTGGATGGTGCATGGTGCATGGTGCATGGTGGATGGTGCATGGTGCATGGTGCATGGTGGATGGTGCATGGTGGATGGTGCATGGGTGGTGGATGGTGCATAGTGGATGGTGCATGGTGGATAGTGCATGGTGGATGGTGCATGGTGGATGGTGCATGGTGGATGGTGCATGGTGGATGGTGCATGGTGCATGGTGCATGGTGGATGGTGCATGGTGGATGGTGCATGGTGGATGGTGCATGGTGGATGGTGCATGGTGGATGGTGCATGGTGGATGGTGCATGGTGGATGGTGCATGGTGGATGGTGCATGGTGCATGGTGGATGGTGGATGGTGCATGGTGGATGGTGCATGGGTGGATGGTGCATGGGTGGATGGTGCATGAGTGGATGGTGCATGGGTGGATGGTGCATGGGTGGATGGTGCATGGGTGGAGGGGGCATGGGTGGATGGTGCATGGTGGATGGTGCATGGGTGGATGGTGCATGGGTGGATGGTGCATGGGTGGAGGGGGCATCGGTGGATGGTGCATGGGTGGATGGTGCATGGGTGGATGGTGCATGGTTGATGGTGCATGGGTGGATGGTGCATGGGTGGATGGTGCATGCGAGTCAATGATGCCATCGTCTTGTCCCACCCTGGCAGGCAGCACCCCACCCCACCCTACCGCACCTGCCCATCGAAAGCTCCCCTAACACAATCCTGCTGCTGCTGCTGCTGCTGCTGAGATTGAGGTTGGTAACACGGCGGTTGCACTGCCTCAGTCTGCACCTCGTGCTCACACTGCTGCTGGCAGTGGTGGGTGGAGTGCCCCTGCGGTGGCTGAGACGCGTGCAGCTGTGAGAGCTGCTGCTGCAATACCACGGGTGCCGCTGCTGGCACTGTCTGCGAGCTGGTAGGCGCCGGGGCTGCTGTGGCGCGCACCTGGTGGGGCATGGGCGCGTGCACATGGACGGGCATGTCAATACTATTTGCCATTCATTTGACCCGGCCACAAAGCATGCACTGCGCGCAGTATGACGAGACAGCTCATGTGCAGCAACACGCGCTTCCATGCCTCGCCGCATGTTATTGCACCATGCGCCATGCACCATGCACCATGCGCCAAGAATCATGCACCATGCACCATGCTACCATGCGCCATGTGCCATGCACCATGCGCCATGCACCATGCACCATGCACCATGCACCATGCACCATGCACCATGCGCCAAGAATCATGCACCATGCACCATGCACCATGCTACCATGCGCCATGTGCCATGCACCATGCGCCATGCACCATGCACCATGCGCCATGAACCATGCGCCATGCACCATGCACAATGCACCATGCACCATGCACCATGCGCAATGCACCATGCACCATGCACGCACCTTCTCCTTCTTCCCTCGGTACTGTCCGCCTCTCCCCTTTCCCCCATGCGCCAGGGGCGGAGGTGCGCCTGTCAGCTGCAGCAGCTGCAGCGCCAACCCTCCCACCGCCCCTCCTCCCCTGCTGCCCTCCCTCTCTCCCCCCTGCGAGCGCCCCTGCCCTTCTGCCCAAGCCTGCCCCTGCATCTCCTGCCTCGCATGCCCCACTGAAGCCTTGCCCGCCGCCCGCCCCCTCTGCGGCGTTGTGATGGGCGGGGAGGAGGATGCAGGGTGGGGAGGAGGCGGAGGCAGCACGGGGGGCAGCAGGGAGGCGAGGCTTGGTGATGATGACTTGGCGGCGCTGGTCCGTGTGGGTGCTGATGGGATGACGCCTGCTGCTGCCGCTGTTGCTGGTGCTGCCATGGCAGCAGTCGCTGCAACAGGTGCATGTGGTGCCGGGGGTGCAGCAGGTCGCGATGAAGGGTGGAGAGTGGCAGGGGGAGGGTGGGAAGGTAAAGGTGGGCGGGTGGGGGTCCCAGGCTGAGCGGCTGCTTCACACGGCATGGGTGCAGGTAGGGGCGATGCGGCAGGCACCAGTGCTGGTGGGTGCAGCGGTGGCAGTGGTGGCGGCGGGTGTGGGGAGGGCATGAAGGAGAGGCGCGCCAGCAGCCCCTCCGCCACGCGCCTGCTGTACTCCCCCTCAACGCCCTCCCCCTCACGCCCTCCCTCCTGCACTGCCTCCCGTGCCTCCTCCCCCTCTCCCGCATCATGAGCCTCCCTCGTCGCATCTGCAGCCTGGGGTGCAGCTTGGGCGTCCACGTGGTCGTCGGGGAAGCCATCCTCCTGGCAGCAGGGGACGGCCGTGCACACACGATGCACCGCAGAGGGAGCACGGGCGTGGAAGTAACAAGGCGTGCCAGACTTGGGCAGACGAATAGATGGGCAGACGTGGGCGCGAGTGTGCATGATATGGCACGGATGAATGGCATGTGGAAGAGAGGGTATTGGACGGCAGCGAGCAGCACAGGGCACACAACATGTTAGCACAGCAGGTGGGCATGCATGGCATGGCACGCTAGCAGATGGGCATGCATGGCATGGCATGGCACGCTAGCAGATGGGCATGCATGGCATGGCACGCTAGCAGATGGGCATGCATGGCATGGCACGCTAGCAGATGGGCATGCATGGCATGGCACGCTAGCAGATGGGCATGCATGGCATGGCACGCTAGCAGATGGGCATGCATGGCATGGCACGCTAGCAGATGGGCATGCATGGCATGGCACGCTAGCAGATGGGCATGCATGGCATGGCACGCTAGAAGATGGGCATGCATGGCATGGCACGCTAGCAGATGGGCATGCATGGCATGGCACGCTAGCAGATGGGCATGCATGGCATGGCACGCTAGCAGATGGGCATGCATGGCATGGCACGCTGGCACATACCCAGTCATCGGCAGTGGGCGAGTCAAACCATCGCAGCCCCCACTTGGCCCGCTGCCACGTGTCACCTCTTTCCTTCTCTGCCACGTTGGATGCTGCCAAACCCTGCCACCCAAATTTCACTCCTGACACGTCCCTGTTGGCCGCTGCTGACTCTCCAAGTGCAGAGACAGCGGCGTGTGGTTCACCAATCAAAGGCTGCCAAGTGGAATGAGAGAAATAGCGGAGCAGGGAAACAGAAGATAATCACGAGGCAGATGGAGGAAAGGACCAAGGTGCAGAAGCGGAGATTGGGAGTAGCTGGCGCCGCTTGACGACCATCATCGCTATCAGCATCCTCCCTGCCTTCGCGCTTCCTCCCCGTCGTCGCACTGCGCTCACCTTCGGGCCCGCGGCATTTCGTCCACCCGCCGCGCCCTTGCGCTTCATGAGGCGCTCCAGCGCGCCCCTGTCGTCCGCCTGGTACACCACGCGCTCCCACACGCCCTCGCTCTCCGCCTCCCCGCGGCCCCACGCGTCCTCCCCTCCGTCCAAGTCTCCCCCACCCCATCGGTCTGCGGCCATCGCCACGGGCGAGACGCGATGCCAACTCTGGCCCGCACGCACTGCGATTGCCCGCGCACGCACAGAAACACCGCAATTTAGTGCGATTGCATTCAATCAAATGCTGACCATCGTGCTGCCACTTTGACTACAAAATCTTGAAGCCCCAACTCTCACAAGTTCCTCCTCATCCGTCCATTGCCAGTGCGGGGGTGTCACGCGAAGCGAAATGGCGTCTTCGACACGCCTTGAAAGTGTCGACACCTTCAAACATTTCCCCAGGCTGGTTTCGTGGTTTGTTGTCGAAGTGCATCGCGTAGCTGCAATTCGATAAAACACTACCGAGTGTTAAAATATTGACCCCGTCTATGATGTGATTTATTAGTAAAACCTACTACTAGTAAATCGACTTTGTATCTTAACTGCTTTAGTATTACTTATGTGCACTTCGGTTAATGAAAAAATAGTTTAAGAGCATTCAGGGCATTATGATCTCTTCGTGAAATTACATTACTGGAAAAGGAGGAAAATCTATGTATGGGCCGTGCATGTAGCTGCAAAAGCAGTAACTGTATTCATGACAATTGATTGTGATGTTCTCCTGTGGCGGGTCCCTATATTGCGGTGTCCTTTCCCTCCTGCATCTCGTGTTATGATTGCTAGCGAACAGGGCAAATCTTGAGATAACGGCCATGGCGGACGCATCACCCGTTAGGAGCCCCAGAAGCCCCAGAAGCCCTAGAAGCCCGAGAAGTCCAAGAAGCCCAAGGAGGACGCCGAGCCCTAAAAGTCCTAATCGGTCTAGGAGCAAGGTGAAGCGAGAGCATGATGATGACGTGGAAGATCGGCGGGATGACGCGAAACGTCAAAACACCCGCGATACAGGTGAGGGTTCCACATCTGCCCTCCATGCCGAGCTTATCTGAACCTGATTCTTATTATAGACTCTTCTCTTTTTTAATTTTCATTTCCTTCTTACCGATTTGGCCTATTTGATTTTTTTTTCCCCGATATTGTCCGGGTTGAGCAGAGGAAGTGCGGGCGTTGGAGTCGACGCTGCGGTTCCTGGTGTCGAACAACTTTGCGGGGTCGGTGATCGGCAAGGCGGGGCAGGTGATATCGGAGTTCCAGGTGCAGTCGGGCGCCAAGATCGTCATGTCGCGCGCGCACGAGTTCTTCCCCGGCACCGCGGACCGCATCGTGCTCATCAGCGGCACCGTCAGCGCCATCCTCACGGCGCTGCACCTCATCCTCTCCAAGCTCGCCGACGTACGCCAACCAACCATCGCCTTCTTGCCGTCGTTCGTGCCTTTTTTTTCTTGCAGTCTTTTCTAGCATACTGCTTTGACAAGGCACAGCAGTGTCTTGGCAGCACTTACGGGATCTTCAAAGATTCATGCTCTACGCGTTCGCTCGCCTGTCGTTCGTCGGTGATACTCATGCCTTTCCGTGATGTTAACTGGTGAGCGTGATTAAATCCGCCGCTGTGTGTCGTACGGTGCCGTTCGCGCAGGATCCGCGGCGCGTGGAAACGGCGCGCGAGGGCGAGCTGGACCTGCTGCGCATCGTGGTGCCGCACCGCGTGTGCGGCGCCATCATCGGCAAAGCTGGCGCCACCATCCGGTCAGTCTCCCCCACCACTGGGAATGACTGCTTCTTCCACCAATTGCTTCTTTCCGCCTGCATTCCTTCCCTCAGTGGCGCCGCTCATGGCTCTTTTCGACACTGAAGATCGATCAGTACCCTCCTTCTGTCCTTCCTCGTGTCCCCTCTCATTCACTGGCCCGATTCTTACGCTGCTTGTGTCATTGTGGGGTGTGGGTGTCTTCACAGGGATGAAACTGTCGCTCCTCAATACCACCCTAGACCTTCTCTCACCACTCCGTGCTACGCTTAAATCCATCACCACCACTCTCAACTCCATCACCAGCACTCTAACTCCATCCCCACCACTGCTACGATTCGCGATGCTTTTATGGCTCCAATCAGTACCAGTTCCTGGTCGCCTCCCTCCGGAGCACCCGCAGACCAAGGCGTTCACCCTCCGCGCGTGCCCCACTCATCCCCGCAGCCGCAAGCTCCCTCCACTGATTCCTCGCAACTCTCTCTCATCTGCCTTTTTCCAATCCCGGATGTCACCTGCTCTTAATCCTCCGTGCGGCAATTGCTGCCATGTAATGCCGTTCTAGAAAGCGAGCATCTGCAACATCAGCCGCCATCGCCCAAACAGTGCGCAACGGCGTAATTCATCAGTTTTTTCTTGTAACAGGATAACAGCACGGGTTTGCGCAACGGCTTAACACAAAGCCCTTCGTCTGCGCACCTCGATTCGCTCGCTCCCCCGTTTGCCGTTTTCTCATGGGTCATCAGTGGTGCCCATACATCATCCCACCTGCCTCCCCTTCATCTTCTACCATCGCCCGCTCTTGTCTGTTTCGTGTATCATCCCCGCGTCTACTCTCTCGCAGCATCGTCCTCTCCCGCGCATCATCGCTTCCCACCCTCTCCCTCCGCATCTTCAAGCGATTGCGCCCTTCCTCCGCAGCAGCACTTCCCACACCGTGAACCGAGAACGGCAGTTGTGCCGCGGCTCCACACTGTCACCCTCACTTTCTCCCCTCCCCCCCCTTGTCCTACGCGCCCCTCAGCCAGCTTTGCCATCCACTATCCACTCCTCACCCCCCACCGTCTCCCATCTGCTCTGCTCTCCGTCCCGCCCATCCCAACCCCCGCTCTACCCCTCCGCACCCGGCTCCACCCTCCTCCTGCCCGTGCCCTCTCACCTCGCATGTCATGCCACCACGCCCTGCCACGTGGACCCGACGCCATCACGCCGCTCCCAAATGGCTGCCTCCCTCACATCGTGCGCGCCATGGCGCCATGCCGTCGCGGACCATCGGGGGCGGCTGGCCGTCGCTGGGCGCAGGTCGTTCGTGGAGGACTCGCAGGCGACCATCAAGCTGTCGTCGCAGGACACTGCTGGCCCAGGCTTCGCAGAGAGGCTCATCACGATAGGGGGCTCGCTGGAGCAGAAGCTGCGCGCGGTGGCGCTGCTGCTCACCAAGATGTCGGAAGACCCCACCTACGTGCAGTACGCTGACGTGCCGCTCTCCTACACCGGTGAGCAGAGGACCATCGTATCGTATCATATCATATCATATCACTCCTCGGGTGAGCCACGTGCCCCTCTCCTACACCGGTGAGCCACGTGCCCCGCTCCTACGTGGATACATATCTCCTCCACGTGTCTCTATCCTCCCGCGCTCACTCACGTATTCCCTTCTGTTCCTCCCGTATCCATCCCTTGCCTCTCTCCCCCCGCGCCTCACTGCGCGTCCCCCACCAGCGGCGGGCGGGTCATCTCAGCCGCCTCCCCCTCCGCCCGCGGCAGCGGGAGGGGGCAGGCACGAGGGCAGGAGCAGCGGGTTTTCGGAAGGAGGACGGGGCAGGGAGGGCGGGTACGGGGGCGGAGGGGGGTACAACGATGGGTACGAGGCGAGGGGGGGCAGCGGGTTCAGTGGCGGCTATGGCGGTGGTCCTGGGTACGGGGGCGGAGGTGGGGGCAGGGGTGGGGGCGGAGGCTATGGGGGAGGGGACAGATATGGAGGAGGGCGGGGCGGAGGCGGGGGTTTTGGAGCTCCCTATGCAGCGCCTAGGGGACTTCCTCCGTACCTTTCGGACCTGCGTGGCAAGGTGGGAGTGCTGTGGCAAGGTGGGCGTGCTGTGGCAAGGTGGGCGTGCTGTGGCAAGGTGGGAGTGCTGTGGCAAGGTGGGCGTGCTGTGGCAAGGTGGGCGTGCTGTGGCAAGGTGGGAGTGTTGTGGCAAGGTGGGCGTGGTGTGGCAAGGTGGGAGTGCTGTGTCACTGCGTGGGGCCACTGTGATGCCCCTGCTGCCCTGCTCTGCCTGCGTGCGCGATTTTGTGTGGTGTGGCCCATCATCGCCCGTAATCTCACAAGCAGTGGACCCTTGTCGTGCTGCCAGTGCCAGAGAGGTTGCAGTGTGATTGTACCCACACTGCTCACTGTCTCTCTGCCATTCCCAACCCCTCCGAACCCATTTCTACCTCTTTCCAACACCTCTTCCGCCACCCCTGCATGCAGGGCCCGCCTCCTCTGCCACCGGGTGGCGGAGTGCCAACGACCATCATAGTGGCGGTGCCGGACGACCATGTGGGCGCTGTTGTGGGCAAGGGCGGCAAGTCGCTGCATGAGATCCAGCAGGTGCGTGCGTGGGTGGGGTACAGTACAGCGGGCAGGGTTTCTGTCAGGAAAAGGGCATCGTTAGTGCCAGCAGGCTATCCGGTCACATCACTTGCTTCACCACTGATGATGCCTCTTCTTTCGCCGCTGGTACCATCTCTTTTGCTGCTCTCCGTGCAGCTGAAGCTCCTGTTGGTAATGAACTTTTCTCAGTCAGAGCATGGGAGCACAACACAACAAGCTTCCCTATCCCCTTTCCTACCTCTCCGCTTGCACATCTCCCCTTCATCTCCTCGTTTCTCTCCCTTTCACCTCCTCTTTTCTCTCCCCATCGTCTCCTCGTTTCCCGCCCCTTCATTTCCTCATTTCTCTCCCTTGTTGCAATGTCCAGCGCATTTCTCTGGGATCTAACCTTGCAGTATGCGTGTTGGTGGATGCCACATGCCTCTGCTCTCTCTGTGCAATCTCTGTGCATCACCACATCTATACTCGCATGTGTGCAGTCGGCGGGAGTGCGCATGCTCATATCTGACCGCAACGATTACGTTGAAGGCACCAGGAACAGGTCAGTACCGACCATAACCACGGCAACATTAGCCCCACCTCTTTTTTTTTTCCTTGCATCCCATAGGCAACCTGTCGCTGGATCGCTGCCCGTCTTGCATGCCTGCTGGGGCATGTGTCTCAGCTAGTCCTTCCACGTCTCCCCCTCCCCCCTTGCACTGGCAGGAAGGTGACAATAACGGGTCCATCGGAGGGGGTGGTAGCAGCGCAGCACCTGATAGCGCAGAAGGTGCAGCAGAGCATCGCCTCTGCCTCGGGGGACCGCCTCCTCTCCGCCCCCGACCGCCTCCCCAGCACTGTCGACCGCCTCCCCCCTGCTCCCCCCAGGGGCTTTGACGCCGGTGCAAGGGGCTTTGACAGCGGTGCGAGGGGGTTTGATAGCGGTCCGCGGGGGTTTGGCAGTGGTGGTGGGCGCGGGGGCGGTGGGGACAGGCTGGTGAGCACCTATGGTGGCGAGCGGGATGAGCGCGGGCGCGACCGGGGGGTAGACCGTGATCGTGACAGGGAGCGGGAGTATGAGAGGGAGAGGGAGCGGGAGCGTTACTCGGAGTGGGATCGCAGGGAGCGGGACGACTCAAGGCGAGGGTACGAGCGGGAGAGAGGGCGGGACGAGCGCGACACGTACAGGCGGTGAAGACCATGCTAACAGGTGTTGGTGAGGGTGCGAAGTGAACAGCTAGTGCTGTGTTCGGTCTTGCCATGGTGTAACTTGGTAAATCTAGTGCTCCCTGTTCACAGGCTGCTGTCATTGTGCTGGTGGGGCTGACTTATGGTGGCCACCTTTGGTGGGCCTATTTCATCCGAAAATAGTTCTTGTTAAGGACGCTTTTACTAAAAACGGAACTTATACTAGAAACAGACATACGAAATTGTCATTTACAAATCAAGAGTCAATGAAGCGGATGGTGAGGGAGTCCTGGTCTATCTGCCACACGTTGAGCTCCGCATAATCCTCCAAACACTCCCTCAGCTCCGCCTCGCTGTGCCCCTGCACGTGGACAGGGATAAGGAAGGAGGATACAGAAGTGTGGCAGACAATGGGAGAAAATTGCGACGGCAACAGCACCCAGTGGCACCACAACACAAATTCACCTCATCATGAGTCCCTGGAAATCACAGGAAGAAACCCAGTCCACAGTGCAATGCAGCACAGCATGCCACGGACACGACAGGGCGGGGCAGGGCGGGGAGGGGAGGGCACCTTGCGGGTGATCCAGTTGAGGGCGTCGGAGTAGGACACCACGGTGCAGCGCGCACGCGCAGCCTCGTCCCGCACGATGGAGTAGACGGCGGAGATGGCGTCCAGCCCTGCGCGCTGCCGGGCCTCCGTCTGCAGCGACGCCTTGGACCCGTGCATCAGCCTCAGCGCCTCCTCCACATCGCTCTGCGCCACCGCCCCCGCCAGCCGCAGCCGCGCCCGTGCCTGGCGGGCAGGGGGGTTGGGAAGATTGGGGGTGACAGGGGAGAGTGGGAGAAAGATCGGAAGGGGTTTAATGGAGGGGAGGAAGAGGTGGGACATGAAGGCCACAAGCAGACGAGAACGTGGTGAACGAAAATGTTTGTATCCTGGTACCTCCTGCATAACTTGCTATCACAACGCAAACAACAACATCCCTTCCCACACCATCACATGCTATGCTATCACCTCAGCGAGGCGCATGATGGAGAGCAGGGTGCGCGCGGTGGTGTAGGTGTGAGGGGCATCGCTGGCGGCCTCCTCCTGCCGCAGCCCCGCGTAGGCCGACGCTATGAAGTCCGTCAGCTCCTCCGGCACACTCGGCTCGTACGTCCGCGCCGTCGCTATGAAGTTCCTGGTGGGGGAAGGAGGAGGTGGAGGGAGGGGGGGACAGGGGCAGAGGGGCATGCTGTTGTTGAATTATGTTCAAATAACCTGAGAAGAGTTTCGAAGCACCTGAAAATGCACCAGAACAGCAGTTTAGGGCACCTAAACATTTTTCAAAGCACCTGAGCAGCGTTGGGTCAACGGGATCAAAGTCAAGAGCGGGCGGCGCGGAGTGCTGATGCACGTGCAGCACGTGACGGGCGAGCGCCAGGTCAGCGTCCACATCAGCACGGTCGAGCATGAGCCAGAGAATATCGAATCTGGAGAGCAGTGCGGGCGGCAAGTTGATGTTCTCCGCTGGGGTTCTCCTCATGTCATAGCGCCCCCTGGGGGAGGGAGGGAGGGGGAGGAGGAGGGGGAGAGGAGAAGAGGGTGGAGGGAGCAGCATGTTGGGAATTGAGGAGAAAAAAAGGTCGGGAAGGGGAAGAAAGGATAGGGACGGGATGGGGTAGATGCAGCTGCATGCTGTGCGAGTAGCAGCGATGGCAGGAGGGTGCGTGATCTCACCAGGCGGGGTTGGCAGCGGCCAGCACGGCGGTGCGAGCATTGAGCGACGTGGTGATGCCCGCCTTGGCTATGCTCACTGTCTGCTGCTCCATCACCTGCCATGCATGCACCACGTGCAACAGCGCACATGGCATAGGAGCCACGATGCAATCATACTCATCGCCCATGTTACATGTGATTATAAAATGTCCATGCAGAATAAATCCGCTGCTTGACACATGGCACATGGCAATATCAGTGTTCACTGGCACAGAATGCAGGGAAGCAGCAGGGCACACGGACCTCATGGATGGCGGTGCGGTCGTTCTCGTCCATCTTGTCAAACTCGTCGATGGCACAGATGCCCATGTCCGCTAGCACCTGGTGGTGCGAGTGAGGTGGGGAGGGGAGGAGAGCAGGAGGTGCAATGAGAGGGTGAGGCCATGTGCAGCATGACCACCAACACCGTACACGATCTTGGTGTACCACTCAGAGCAATAACAATGTGCACCGTCACACTCAACACAGATGGGCACAGGCGCACTCACCAGAGCGCCGCCCTCCAGCACCATCTCGCCGGTGACAGTGTCACGTGTGACGGCAGCAGTGAGCCCCACGCCGCTGCTGCCCTTGCCGGTGGTGTACACGCCCCTGGGCGCCACTGTGACGATGTGCTTGAGCAGCTGGCTCTTGGCCACCCCGGGGTCGCCCATCAGACACACGTGCACGTCCCCACGGATCTGACCCAGCGCAGGGAGGGGGAGGGGGTTGGGGGGGTGTGGTGCGCAGAGAGGATGCGGAGGGAGGGCATGAGGTTGCACGAGGCAAACGTGGCTGCCCACTAAAGGTCAAAGGAGGCTGCATGGACATGGGTCTTGGGGAGGCAGTGCCGCACTGAACGCGCACCTTCATGCCATCCGGCAGGCTGCGGGTGGGCGCCCCCACGAGCAGCAGCAGCAGCACCTTCTTCACGTCATCGTGGCCGTAGATCTCGGGAGCAATGGAGCGGGCGAGGCGGCTGTACACGTCGCTGCTGCCCTGCGCTGCCAGCTGCTGCACCGCCGCTGCCTCCTCTGGCGTCTGCTCACTCGCGTACCTGCATGGCGGGTGGGAAGGCACACACTTGCATGTGGGTACGAGGGGAGGGGTGCGTGCGTGTAAATTGCTCAAGCATGGTGGGGACGTCGTGGGTGCGTCATGGGGGCGTTATGGGAGCGGGTGAGAAAATCTGGAGCTGTGAGAGGGGGGATTTGGCGAGATGGTGAGCGCGATGGTGCGTCGTGAGACCTCTCTCCTCCATGGCCTTGACCCCTCCCTCCAGCAAGAGAGACTCACTCGGAGAAGCGCTTTTTGGAGTGGTGGAAGGACATGGCCTCGAGGTACGTGTCGGCCGTGAGGCCTGCCCGCATGGCCTTGAACCCCACAAAGGGCACCGGCAGGAACACCCCCGCCACACTCACCACATCACCCGGTGATACCTGTGGTGGCACGCACAGGGCGAGATGGATGAGGGAAAGGGAGTCTGGCTTGCCCAGGAGTCCTTTAAGTGGCGCAGTCATCACTGAAGATGCATTAATGTAACAGGTGCCTCAAGGAACACAACCACGCAGGCAGTGCGTGAGGTGGGGGAGGGCGCACCTGACAGGTGAGGTGGGGGAGGGCGCACCTGACAGGTGAGGTGGGGGAGGGCGCACCTGGCGGGTGAGGTGGGGGAGGGCGCACCTGGCGGGTGAGGTGGGGGAGGGCGCACCTGGCGGGTGAGGTGGGGGAGGGCGCACCTGACGGGTGAGGTGGGGGAGGGCGCACCTGGCGGGTGAGTTGGGGGAGGGAGCACCTGGCGGGTGAGGTCGCCCCTGATCTGCACTGTCATGGCACGCGGCACATGCCCCTTGGGCACCTGCTCTGCTAGCTCCTGTATGCGCGCCTGCATCATTGCAACAGGGGGGACACATGTGACATGCTGTTAGAGGCCACATGTAACATGCCGTGCCATGGCACACAGGCATGAGAAGGAGAGCTGAATCCTCAACATGTGCAAACAAGCTGAGGGCCCTGACTGTGCGCGGGAAGGGACAGGAAGGTAGCTTGAAGCGTGCACTCCATCATTTACTTATTGGGAACCACAAAAATGCACCACACGCTCACAGCAGCCCATGCTCACAGCCCATGCTCACAGCCCATGCTCACAGCCCATGCTCACAGCCCGTGCTCACAACCCATGCACATCACCCCATACTGTCAAGCCATAAATGCACAGTATGAGCCCAATAGATACCTCTTGGAACTTCTGGAACTTGGAGCCGCGCGTGTGCAGGTGCAGCCTGCCACGTGCGTTGTTGGTGCGACAGCGCGTGGACGGGCACTCAAACAGCGGCATGAACGTGCGTGCTGTCACCTCCTGCCAGGCCCAACGCACACAGCACAGAATGAGCGGCACAACAAAGCAATAGGGGGTTGAAGGCAGGGCGGTTGTGGGTTCACAGACACTTGGGTACGTGTTGAAGCACGCAAGTGGTCACCGAGTTGACTTTTGAGTCGACTCAAAAGTCAACGGTTGTGGGTACAGAGACACTTGGGTACGTGTTGAAGCACGCAAGTGGTCACCTGAAACCAGGGGCTCGTGGGAGCAAAGCATGGACTGACACTGTCAAGATGACTTGTGCGCGAGGCACCGGATGGGGATGTGCCGGCCTCGCATGGCATCGACTCGCACCTGGTAGATCTCGAAGCCGCACTCATCACATGTGTACGTGGCGACCTGCAGCAGCGGCTTCACGTCCGTGCAGCGTGTGACGATGCCCTTCACCACCACCAGGCGCCCTATTTGCCCCGCCCCCACCTCGCGTATCGCCTGCGCCTTGCGCTTCGGCTCCGGTACCAAGTGCAGGTCGCTGAGGAGTTGAGGAGGATGGGAGGGAAGGGGGAGGTGTGGATTTGAACACAAAGATGAAGGGAGGGTAGATTTGAGGGCACAGCAGAGTTTGGTTCACGTTCAGTAAGGCTGCAAGCCCTTGATCAGAAAAATTGGTTGTGTGTGATGGTTGACACACACACAGGGCAAGGTGATGGTGGCTGTGGTGACGATGAACCACGGGGAGGGGAGGAGCACATCCCAGCGTCCACCGCTGGCACTCACAAGCGGCGGCGCAGCAGCGCGGGCAGCTGGAAGAGCGGGTCGACGGCGGCCACAGCAGCATCGCCCTGAGCGAGGTTCTCCGCGTGCTGCTCCGCGCGCTGCCTCATGAGCACGTCGTACACGTCCTCCTCCCTCTCCTCCCCGCCCCCTGCCAGCGACGGCTCCGGCATGAGGTCGTCTGCCGCCTCGGCAAAGAGCGTGATGTAGCGCCGCGCGTTGCTGTAGATGCGCGCCACCAGATCGTCGTTGCTGCCCCCCCCGTACTGCAAGGTGTGCGGTGGGGAGAGAGGGGAGACGGGAGAAAGCAGAGTGGATATGAAAGGTGTTTGGGGTATGGGGGAGGGAGACTGAAGCCTGAGGAGTGGACAGGGCGAAGATGAAATGCCGCAGAGTGAAACAGGAGAGCAATGAAGGGAAGGAGAGAACGAAAGGGAATGGGGTGATGATGGGAGGGGCTGGAATGCTGCTAACCGCAACGATCTCTGCCATGTGGATGTTGATGACGTGGAGCTTGCGATCCGCCACGTCTTGCTGACAGGGGTGGGCGAGGCATGTTGGACAAGGGCAAAGGGTGTGAGGCAGGTATGGAGAAAGGAGGAGCAAAGAGGTGAGTGGCGAGGAGTGAGGGCGCAAGAAGCAACGGAGATTGAAAAGATGAGACCGTGGTGAAGGGCAGCAGAGGAACGTGGTGAGAGGAGGTCCATGTGCTGCCACCAGATTCTTTAAAAGAAAATAGTTATTCCGGCCTGAAACAGAATGGTTAGACTTCTAGGCACGCGTTGAATCTGAGCCACTCACCAGCAATCGCATGTACTTGAAGATGCCTTCCGCATCGCGGTAGTTGCTGAGAAACTTCCTGCACTCCTCTGTGCATTGCAATGGAGAGAGGGGAAGACGAGGGGTGAAGAAGGGAGCTTCATATTGTAACGGCTCGCGAGAGACGAAAAGGGAAGGACAGAGTGGTCGAAAGAGAAGGTTGTAGAAGAGGGATGCGGCGGAAGAGAAAAGGAAGGGGGAGAGGGGGAGAGTAGACTGCGGATGTAGAACAGAAGCGACGGCGCAGCGCATGCAGGAAGGAGCAAGGCGCATGTGGACGCGAGCAGACACGGCGCGAACGAGGCAAGGAGTCGATGGGGAGGACAAGGAGAACGTGAGACGCACACTTGGGGCTTGCGGGGAGAAGGCGAGCATGCAGACAGGAGAATCTGGATTTGGATAACTTGGAAAAACAGTGTGGAGACGATGCGTTGAGGGCACTGATGCAAATGGGAAAACCGGTTTGAAGGGGATCACCTTTATCTTCCTTGAAGTTAGGGTATTTCGTCGCCATGGCGACACGAAAGCCTGCGAAGCAGTGTCACTTCATTAGCCTGATCGAGACGATAGTGGGTATTTTGTTGCGAATTTGATGGAGCTTGGCGGGAGCCAGTGTGGAGCAGCGATTCGTTTCTTGACTTGATCAAAGCGATTCGTTATGGCAGACCTGATATCAACCAATTCCAAGGAACATCGGTACAATCCTCCTTATAACCTATTTTCTGATTAGCATGCAAAGAAACAAATTGCTTGTCAACCAGCGGGCAATACAGGTTTAGGGGCGTTGCTACTGCTCGCAAAAACGAATTACAATTTGCAATCCTTGTGTCTAGTGCATTCATTCCATGGTCGAATCTTCAGCCATGAAACAAGATGTTACATCAAATACTATGCATATCCTGAGCTGCAAGGACACCTTGTCCTACAACAAGTGTGCATTTACTCTTCCTCCTCATCATCGCCATCATCACCGCCCTTCTTGGAGGCAGCCTTGAGGTTTCTGCGCTTCACACGGCCTGGCCTGCCACCGCCGAACGGGCTGGTCAGAGCGAAGTCGATGTGCTTCTGGCTCTCGAGTCGCACGAGGAAGGACGGAATGTTCACAATCTGCTTCCCCACCCTGAAGACATCACAATCACGAGGGCACACCAAACCGTGACAGAACAATAACATGTAAATGCTCCAGGATCTAGAAATAGTAGGGAACAGGAAGTCCTGAGGAGGAAAGAGGGTCACGTTGTGAAGAGGTGAGGGAGTGAAGTCGTGAAGGGAGTTGGGTCAGTCACGTCGTGAGCACAGCAGAGGGAATGGAATGGGAGCGGTGGACTTAAATGGTAGTGAAAAACAATACGGAAAGGGGTTTGATCCGGCTAATTAATTACCCCTCGTCCCCGGACATTCCGTACGGATTCTTAAGAAGACGCAGTCATGCTTATGCATTTCTGAGAACACGTAAGCGCTTGCCTTGGGAGCACGAAAAAGCACGCCAGTTGCAAAACTGGGCTTTTGGCAAACTGTCTGCTTGCAGTCTGAATCAGACTTACGCAATACACTGAGAGCCGCCCTAAAGAACTCGAGGACAAGGATCTAGCGAAACAATCCTCACAAATAAGCACGACTTTCAACTTATGATACAAAAAGCCGCAAAGAAACACGCTCGACCTGGGCCAGGAAGCAAATGCATACCGGATGTGGCGCTGGCGGATGAGGACACGGGCGTGATGGATGGACTTGGCGAGGCCGGTCTTGAAGACGAGGGTCTGAAGGCGACGCTCCAGGAAGTTCTCGACAGTCAGGGCGAGCACGTAATCGAGCTTGTTCTGGCTCTCCTCCAGCAGACCGTAGCGGTGCATGCGGCGCAGCAGAGCCTCACCCTCGAAGATGCGGCGAGTGCTCTTCTCGTCGAGCGTGAGCAGCTCGCGAGCGTTCTTACGAATACGCGAGAGAACGTACTGCACGCGCCACAGCTCACGCTTGCAACGCAGACCATACTCTCCGAGCAGCTTCAGCTCCGCGTCGAGCCGTTCCTTCTCGAACGGACGACGAGGCCTCTTAAAGGTCTTGCCATCTGCAGAAACAAACGAAGACAATCGGGTCAAGCACTGCTCGACCAAACAATAACAGTCGGTCGGGTTCAGTCCAGCATTACCGCAACCATCAAGTCTCGTTCACCTAATCCCGGTTTTCTGATAAGGTAAACGTGGGGTAAGACTACACTCGTAGGAGATGCCGTTCCACGTCGTGCAGACAGATATGACTACGCCCATTAGTAGCAGGAAACTATTGCGAAAATCGCTACCCGATTAAAAACCATCTCCGAAAAAAACAAGAGCTGTCAAGAATTAGGGTATGTTATTAAACTATGTGTTCGCGCCGCAGTTCGCACTATCGTAACACCAGATCCAAGCCGTTAACGAAAATCTTAAGTTAACCATGCCAGAGTTCTATCACTCACAGTTGCGATAGAAGGCGACGTGGACCATGGCTTCCTAGTAGGCTGCCTGCAGCCAATCAAGAGCCCTAGAGAAACCCCTCAGGACAAACTGGGAAAAGGAAAGGGGAAGAGGAAGTGAGGAACCTTTGAGGAGAGCAAAAGAGACGAGGTGCTTCATGACGACCACCACGAGACGAAGGCAACCGTCAGAATCAGCGAAAACATATCGAGTTTCGCAACAAGAGGTGTTACAGGATGATATGGAAATTACCACCTCCAAGAATATGGTGTAGCCATTTGAATTCAAAAATATCAACCCCTCCCTCAATCCACATCCATCCTGCCTCCACTTTGACAGTGCGTATCTTTGAAGCCTATTTTAGGAGCCGCCTCAGCAGCGTCAGTGGGCATTGTTGAGACCAGCAGAAGTACACCACATCGCCATTCGCGGCCATGGGAAGTGAAGCTCCTTTGCGCTCAAGCCTCTCAAGACTATGCTCCCTTCTTTCCGAGCTGCGGTCTTCTGGTGACGCGTCAGAATTGCAGTGCCCCCGCAGCCGATGCCTTGAACTCTTGGGTTCTGTGCGTGCCTTCGATGGCGATTTGTCAAGCGCATCTCACTTCAGTGGCATTCGATCGGACGTGCATCAGAATTTGTCCTCTTGCCGATCTTCAGACGACAGGTCGGCTGTTTTTTCGTTAATAGAGATAGCATAACCTTCCTTTCTGAGTTTGAGGCAAACTCATGAGAGTTACCTTTGCAGCGATATTCTGCTTCAAGCTGGCCAAGCTGATCTTAAAATCAGTTTGAACGAGCCATCGCTCGGCATTTCTCTGAGCAAGCTGACAAGACTTTCGCCGTACGATGAGCTTGTGTGGGAGGATGACGAGGTCTGTGTTTTCGTTTTACTCATCAATATGATTCTTGCTCGCTCGCTACTTATAACTTCTTACATCTTTTCGTTACTGTTCACTTCAGGAGCCAAGCAACAATGCGCGTATTGCCATTTCAGGAGGTGCTGTTCAAGTTGCTGGTGTCCAGCAGCTGCCGTTTGTAGCCTCCTCTGTACAGACTGAAGCAACGCCGCGAGATAAGCTTACCTTTGGAATGACTGCACCGCCTTCAGCAAAGATTCGCAATAGCTATGCATCAAATCTTGGCGCTCAACCCAAAAGCTCATTGCCTCCACTTCCAAGGCGACCATCCTACCAACAGGAACGTAATCAACAACGGCCTATTTTGTTGGATGACGACGTTTCAGAAGATTCGGACGAAGATGTTTCCTGGAAGAAGCCACAGCGGGCCAATAAACGTTACAAACAAACCCGCTTGCTGGCAGATGATGATGTTGAAGATGTTGAACCAAGGCCCAAGTCATCGTTTCTTACAGCAAGCGAGAAGCTGGTATGCGTAACTTAAATAATTTGCTTCTGTGGCAACGTGTACTTCTCTTGTAACACCACCGTTTTCCTCTCAAACAGGCCATGAGCTCCTTAAAGAAAGGTATCGACAATGCGTCAGCCAGGTCTTCAAAGGCACCGTCCAGGCAGCATGGTGTACATGATCCCGCAGGGTCGAAGAGAGGAGTTCGAAGCGGCTTTGTTTCTCCTGTTCGGACATCACAACAAGCAAATGGCGGCACTTTGCCACGTCAAGCAGCGCCCAAGGACCCAGGGATGAACGAGTCAACCTTGAAATGGTCAGTTCTCACTTTAGTCGTTGCAATCACGCTTCAACGGTCTCATGCTGATGCTCCGCTTGTGCAGTTTGGAAGAGCTACAGGACGAGGACGGGCAACTGCCTGATGTGCTTAAGAACATCGAACCTCGCCTGATAGAGCAGATTTGCAATGAAATCATGACACAAGATACAAAGACGCGATGGAGTGATATTGGTGAGTGACATGGCTGTTTAATTTCATTGACTATGTTGTGCGCTAACAATGTTTTGTTTTTTTCCGTGAACTGCAGCCGGTTTGGAGCATGCAAAGCAGTGCGTGACTGAAGTTATAATCTGGCCACTGAAGCGACCTGACTTATTTCGAGGCACCAGAGCACCAGTTTCTGGGCTTTTGCTTTATGGACCACCGGTGAGTAGCTCGGACATCGAGCACATGGCAGTGGGGTAATACACACACTATTTGATCCTGACAAGTCTTGACGTATTTCTCAACTTGGCAGGGAACAGGCAAGACCTTGATTGGTAAGGCCATTGCTGGTGAAACAAATGCAACATTTTTTTCCATATCTGCCAGTTCCTTGACAAGTAAATGGGTAAGTAAGGCTCCATGCCTGCATATTCGCCTGAGAAATGAGAGGCGGGTGTATGTATGACATGGCTTATGTGAATTGCGTCTCCCTCTTGTGGCAGATTGGTGAGGGAGAGAAGCTTGTGCGAGCCCTTTTTGGTGTGGCGAGCTGCAAGGAGCCTGCTGTCATTTTCATTGATGAAATCGATTCTCTTTTATCACAGGTAAGGATATTTCGACCTATTGCCAATAATTATCTGGAGCTTTGGAACTCATAGTCAAGTCTCCCATTTTTTGTATCTTCCTTTGTGGCCAGCGTCAATCAGAAGGCGAGCATGAGTCCAGCCGTCGGCTGAAGACGCAATTTCTCATTGAAATGGAGGGATGTGGGACAGGAGATCGACACGTTCTAGTTATTGGTTAGTAGCGGAACCCGTTGCCCCGTGTAATTTAATTTAATTTCCTTCATCAAGTCTTCACCTTCATTCCCATCACTCTCTTCCTCTTTGAATCTTATTTTTTTTTCTCTTCCTCCACGGCCTTGTTCTCGTTGATCCTGTTCTAACTTGAGCATTCTGTAAGTGCATCACTATGAGTGCTGGCATTGGTATAGTAGTGATGGCTTGTTCCTGCTTCTTGAGGTGCACTTTAGGTCCCACTACGAAGTTGATAAAATCTCTGAAATTACTTAATCTCGCTGAATTTCTAAATCGTTCCAATGCAGGAGCAACAAATCGTCCGCAAGAACTCGATGAAGCAGCAAGGCGGCGTATGCCCAACCGGCTCTACATACCTCTTCCAAACAGAGGTTAGTTCCGGCGGTTTAATTGGCACAGATTCATTTTTCAATTGCTTACTGGTGTTTCTTTCTTCTCCTGCACAGCTGCAAGAAAAGAGATTGTTCGGAACCTCCTTCAAAAGGACGACATTCTGGCACTGTCAGAGGCAGATATGGACGCAATTGCTGAAGAAGCTGAAGGTTCGTCAGGTTACCAACAGGCATTCTTTCAACCAGTCATTTAGGGTCTGGTCATGATTCGGAAATTTCTTGTGCAGGATACTCGGGATCAGACATGCGGCATCTTGTCCGAGAAGCAGCCATGATGCCGTTGAGGGAGGCTGCTCTCTCTGGTCGGATAGACAAGATGGAAAAGGATGATATCAGACCTGTTGGTCTTCAGGTGAGGTCTTGTAAGTTGCATATTGTTTGGGCCTTAGATGAAGCGATTTCATGTGTGATGTTTACACTTACAGGACTTTCGAGATGCACTACAAAGGGTCAACCCTTCCGTGGCTAACAGCGAGTTGAAAGCCTACGAAGAGTGGACAGCAAAGTTTGGCAGTGGCAATCTGCGAGTGCAGGCACCTACATAATTGAGTTGTTAGTCTTTCACTGCTTGTGGAGGTTATGATCTTTTTTTTATTTTCCCAATGTATAGAACGCGTATGATCATTTTCCAATGGTGGTGATTGAGAAAGCTTGCTTTCTGTTCTTGCAATGGCAACGTGCTTCATTAGAATGGCAACGTGCTTCATTAGAATTGCAGTAATTACAGCATTCTCGTCCAACCATAAATCATACGGTACATGTAAATGATCAGGGTGGGTGGGTGGGGAGAGGAACTGCAAAGTTCCAAAATGAAGACGTGGGTGGAGGCCGAATGGCCTCCAACCCTCTGATATATTCGGCGAATGGTAATTCGCAGTTGCCTTGTTGCGCCACAGTCAGCTGCGCTTTCACAATACGCATTTTTAGAAAGTGTTACACACTTTCGAAAAAATTCATATTGAGAAAGCTTGCTTTCTGTTCTTGCAATGGCAACGTGCTTCATTAGAATTGGGTCGTCTGAGACATGTGTGGTTGGGGACGTTGAGGACGTGTAGACGAAGTGCTGAGAAGGGGTGCCGTTAGTAATTGTGCTCTCCGTGTTGATAGGGTTTGGAATGTTGTGCATGGAGATTGCTCGTTCCCTGGGTGCGGTGGATGCAGGGCTGATTTTATCAGACTAAAATGGTCTGATTGTCTGATCTGACAGACTATTTTTCAATGGTTCCTGATTTTCCAGACTTGGTGATTTTCCAATAATGAGCACCTCAGAGTTGTGGTTTTCCGAATACTGAGAATTTCAGAGTATTGCCTATGCCAATAATGATCCCTCAGACTAAGTAGCGTACGGATCCTGGAAACCGGATATGTACGTACTAGGAAGCTTCCGCAACGTCACATGTTGCCGTGCCATCATGACAATCTCCTTGCTGTCACATGCGAAATCTGAACTTGGCAAATTTGCCACCCCTTGACCGACTCGGTGCCCCCTGTGCCACGCTGCACGTGGCAACCGTGATATCTCTGCAACGCTGTGTCAGCGGGAAAGCTGCACCGTGCCATCACTACGCGCTCTGTCCTGCACGGTACAGCACTGCAGAGGTGACGGGCATGGCGGCTCGAGACCAACGGCAACAGCCAGCCACCCATCAATTGGTTTGAGGACCACGGGGTCCTTCTTCTTCATAGCTCCCTTCACCACGCTGACTATGTTTCCTCGGCTGGCTCTCCCAGCAGTGTTCCAGTTAGTGCTCGAGTGACTCCTCCCATGACGGACCAAGAACGCGACCGGCCCGATTCACCTGATGCTGACCACCCTACTACCAAGGAGGGTGTGGGTAGGTCGGGGACTTGCGCAGGCGCTACCTGGAGTGCGAGGACTTGTTGGGCGGCGGAGAAAGCCCGGCACTGTCTGAGTTCCTGACATTGCACGGGAAGGTTCCGAAGAAGAAGGTGAAGGTGCGCGGAGTTGACAGCGAAGGTGAAGCAGTGACGCACAAGTACAAGCTTCATGAGAGGAAGATTAAGGGGCACGCTTACGGCAGCACGTACACGGAGTGCGCGAAGCTGTGCACGAAATTCGCTCAAGAGTGTGTGAACCGGCTGAACTTCCGCCTTGCTGATCTACGCAAGCTAGCACCAACGAAGCTCTTTCGAGCAGCCAAGTGGCCCAAGCCTCGGCAGCAGCGCGACCGCAAGACGCGAGAGTACCTACACGGATGCGCTGCTATCTTCGACAACAAGCTCCCTGGCTTCGACCTGCGAGCAGCCGAGATGGAGCTTGGCTCGTGGGCTCCAATCATGGCGGCGCACCACGAGGATGAGGGGTTTTTTCAAGGGCTGAAGAATTTCATGGGTGTAGCTGAGTCCGCCAGGTATGTAATACGATGTGGCGGGGCTAGCTGTGTTTCTCTCACGCAATTGTGACATTCTGCTAACCGGTATGTTAATGCTCGTGTGTGATATTTTCAGGCGCTGGCCCAACATCATGCGGCTGTGGCAAGCCGCTGCCGTGATGCCGCTGTCAACCGTTGAATGCGAGCGTGGATTCTCACGCCAGAACGTCATCAAGACCTGGGTGAGAGGCTCTTTAGGCAACGCGCGCCTGGCGGAGTTGATGACGATTTCCCTACTTGACTACGAGATCGACTGGAACGCGGCCCTCGCCAAATGGCGTGAGGAGAAGCCAAGGCGCCCTGCCAAGACTCCAACCTTCGCTGCAGCAGAGAGGAAGCGCAAGGGGAAGGAGCTGGCGGACGACCAGGAACGTGAGAGGGTTGTGCGCGGGCTGGAGTGGGATCGTGATGAGTCGGATGCGGACGACGATGAGGAGGAGGCCTATGAGGAGGAGGAGGACCAGGAGCTGGACGACGACCCTTTCCGCGAGGAGGATGAGGAGGAGGAGGATGTGGAGGAGATAGGCATGGATCAGCCTGAGTGAGACCTAAGATTATTTGTAGCTGTAGGTAGGTAGGTAGGTGATTGCTGTAGGTAGGTGATAGCTGTAGGTAGGAGGAAGGAAGGATGCATCTGATCTGAGACTCAATGGATGATTGCCATGCCAGGACATTTTAACTTAGTTTTATTTAAGTCTGATTTTAGAATTTGAATAATGACCACCTCAGACTAAACCCTGAACCAATCCTGTGAAATCAGACTCAAGGAAGTTGGGGAAAATGTGCTTCAGACTAGACTGGAATTTTTTTTACCTGCTCTCAGAGTAGGTTTTTTTGAAACGTCAGCTCTGGGTGGATGTCCTGGTTGTTGGTGCGGCAGTAGAGTAGAGTGTGTTGAACTGGTGGTAGTTGGTGTTCTCGGGCGTGTCCGAAGTGACCATGTAGCTGGATGTCGGTGCATGTCAGCCCTCGATGAATAATTGCGACCGTCAGGATTCGCCGACATCTGTTGTTCACTGTTGAGGATGCGAACGAGCTGACGGATGGATAACAAAGCACGATAACATGCGAGTGATTTCTATGTGACGGATTGAGCGGCAACTGCATTTTTTCTGAATGGGTTTTAGTGTCATGAGTTGCCTTTCATGTTCGCAGGTGTTCGCTGGAACACACCAAAGAACAAAACTCCCACGGAAGGAAGGATGCCAACTGGCGCACAACCATCAGGAAGAGAAATCGCAACTTGGGAAGGAGGTTGGGTAGCTTGGGATGGGTGTAGTCTGAGGCGTAAGGGATGCGCTAGGAAGAGTACTATATGAACGCTAGTCAAATATATCGACCGGTAGGAAATTTCATCCATGCCATCATTTGGAATATAGATTTCGTTTCATTCATGCCATCATCATTAGTGTCATGAGCTGCCTTTCATGTTCGCAGGTGTTCGTTGGAACACACCAAAGGACAAAACTCCCACGGAAGGAAGGATGCCAACTAGCGCACAACCATCAGGAAGAGAAATCGCAACTTGGGAAGGAGGTTGGGTAGCTTGGGATGGGTGTAGTCTGAGGCGTAAGGGATGCGCTAGGAAGAGTACTATATGAACGTAAGTCAAATATATCGACCGGTAGGAAATTTCATCCATGCCATCATTTGGAATATGGATTTCGTTTCACAAAAACGATAAGTTATTGTATAGCAACGCTCTTTCAACCGAACACTCGCTTGTCTCCGTTGCCCTACGAGTATCATGGCCGATATCTGAGAAGAAGTGAACGAGAGAAAATGAGTGAACTATGAACGAAGTGAGTACAAATAGGAAACCCTAGTTGGGTTGTACCCCCTATGGGATACCCCACTATAGCCTACACAAATAAGTAAGCTATAATATTCTGACACACCCCCATAGGCAAAGTGGGGGAGAACAAGGGGTCACAAGACCAGTCAAGCAAAGCAAAGCAAAGCTCAGGGTGGATCACAAAGTCACCACACATTCCGAGCACAAGTTCAAGGGCCACAAGGCCAGTTCACATGCAAGATCATATATAGAGATATACAAGAGTCAAGCAAGCAAGAACAAGAGTATATATAGGTCAAGGTACAAGCAAGGTCAAGAAGTCAGCAAGTGAGGCAAGACAGGCACAAGACCCAGCTGCGTGCAGCAACGCTGATTATCACAAGGCGCAAGTGCCTTGGTGAAGACATCAGCAGTGTTGGCCTCAGAGGCCACGTACGCAAGTCGCAACTGTCCACGCTGCTGTAGCTCACGAGCAAGAAAGTAGCGGAGAGCAATGTGCTTTGTCCTGTGCTCCAGTCGCTCCTCTCGACACAAGGCCAGCATGGCCTTGTTGTCTACGTACAGGACTGGAGGAGAACGAGGCGGCTCTCCAAGGTCGGTCAGCAGGTAGGTGAGCCAGCGAAGCTCCTGAGCAGCCATAGCCCCACAGGAGCAGGAGCTCGGCACCTCAGGTTGCTCGGGCGGCTCGGGCGGCTCGGGCGGTTCGGGCGGCTCGGGCGGTTCGGGCGGCTTGGGCGGCTCGGGCGGCTCGGGCGGCTCGGGCGGCTCGGGCGGCGCGGCCGTCTCGCGGGCGGCCCCGGGTGACTGCACGAGCGGCCGGGGCGGGTCACGGGCGGCGCGCGGGCGGCTCACGGGCGGCTGGGGCGGCTCACGGGCGGCTGCACGGGCGGCTGGGGCGGCTCGCGGGCTGCTCGCGGGCGGCTCGCGGGCTGTGCACGGGCGGCGCGAGCGGCGCACGGGCGGGTGGGTGGCTCGCGGACGGGCGGCGCACGGGCGGGCGGCTCACGGACGGACGGCGCACGGGCGGCGCCAGCGGCTCACGGGCGGGCTGGTGGCGCACGGGCGGGCGGCTCACGGGCGGCGCCGGCTCACGGTCAGGCGGCGCGCGGGTGGGCGGCTCACGGGCGGCGGCTCACGGGCGGCGGCGCACGGGCGGCGTTTGACGGGCGGCTGCTTACGGGCGTCGGCTGACGGGCGGCGCTCACGGGCGGCGGCTCACGGGCAGGCCGCGGGCGGCTCACGGGTAGGCCGCGGGCGGCTCACGGGCGCTAGGGCAGGCCGCGGGCGGCGGCTCACGGGCAGGCCGCGGGCGGCTCACGGGCGCTAGGGCAGGCGCCGGGCGCTAGGGCGCTAGGGCTCGCGCTAGGGCGAGCGCTAGGGCGGGCGCTAGGGCGGGCGCTAGGGCGGGCGCTAGGGCGCTAGGGCAGAAAAAAAAAAGTTTTCCAAAGTGGTGGGCCCTAAGCAAAGTTCCCACAAGGGAACCTGCTCTGATACCATGAGAAGAAGTGAACGAGAGAAAATGAGTGAACTATGAACGAAGTGAGTACAAATAGGAAACCCTAGTTGGGTTGTACCCCCTATGGGATACCCCACTATAGCCTACACAAATAAGTAAGCTATAATATTCTGACAATATCTTCAGTCGTTGACTAGAGCTCGATGCATCCGTATAGTTCTTTATGTAGAGTACCGCAACGCAGATCTTGGTGTGTCAAATGGTATGAGGATCTGACCATCAATGGAGTTGATCTACGCAGTATCGATAACCTTGATTAGACGACTGTGTGCGCACCTCCAAACTACTCTATGGCCATGCAGGGCCTAATAGTGTGCTTGCTAGCCAACGCCGATGTGAATTACACGCAGATGGGAGCGAGTTTGGGCAATGTGCTTCCATGTTCACCGCATGGTCCATGCGTCCAAGCATATATACGGTATTATGAAAAGTTGAACTCCTATTTCCCTTGATCGATAGTGAAAGATGACTCTTCTCAGCAACCAAAATCGTATAAATATCTCCATTCTAAGGCCACAATAAGTATCATACCAACCTCCCTTCCTTGGGGAACAACCCTCTGGCCATCAAGGACCTTCTGCTTCTTTCCCCTCGGGAAATGGCCCTCTGACCACTAACGGGACCCTGGGTGTAGAATATGAAACAAAGAAATCTGCTACGGTATTATGCGATTGACATTTCAATGTGATGTGCGCTTCAAACAGTTTGATGCTCCCGACTAACTGCAGCGCGATTGTCTGAACTTGAACTGGATACCATAGTAGGGGAAGCTGTCTGGCGTGGTGGTTAGGTGAGAACTTCATGAAGAGTCAATCCGTAACTCCCAACGGCGCATCCATGTTAATTCGATGCGCGGACTGTTGATGGGTACCCGACATTTCTCAATCATTGAGAATCATGTACCTCGCTTGTCAAACATGTGCCTGTATGATAGAACAAGGTGGATGTGCCGTGCACGATGGCGAAAGCCTTATCCCTTCCACATTGCCCTCATGCAAAGAAAACAATGTTTGAGGTTGAGGTTAGGTGTGTTTAACCAGTGAGATTAAAAAAAACTTCCATAGTTGCCCTTTACCAACCAAACATTTGCAATCTGATCGCTCCAATCAAATTCTCCCCTAATTTTAGGTGGGGCTTAGATGTCAAACATTATACATATTGTTGTAGTTGTTTAGGCTACAGTGGGTTAGCCTATAGGGGGTACACATTTCTAGGTTTTCCTACTTGTACTCATTTTCATTGCTAGTTCATCCATTTTCTTGTTCAACATGGTATAGAGCAGGTCCTTCCTAGGACCGATTTTTTTAGGGCCCACCACTACCTACCTACCTACCTACCTACCTACGCCCTAGGGCGCCTCGGCTTTCACGCCCCTAGAGGCCCCGTCGGCCCCGCGCTCGTGTACCTTAGAGGCCCCGAATCGGCCCCGCGCTTACCCCTAGAGGCCCCAATCGGCCCCGCGTTCGCTCTTAAAGGCCCACGGCGGCCCCGCGCTTGTCCTTAACGGCCCACGTCGGCCCCGCGTTCGCTCTTAGAGGCCCACGTCGGCCCCGCGCCTGTCCTTAACGGCCCCGAACGGCCCCGCGTTTGCCCCTAGAGGCCCACATCGACCTCGCGCTCGCCCTTAGAGGCCCTGAACAGCCCCGCGCTCGCCCTTCAAGGCCCCGAATCGACCCCGCGCTCGTCCCTAAGGCCCCGGGAGGCCCCGCGTTTGCCCTTACGGCCCCGCGCTCGTTCCAAACGGCCCCGATCGGCCCCGCGCTCGCCCTTAGCAGCCCACGTCGGCCCCGCGCTCGTCCCTAACGGCCCCACCCGCTCCCCGCGCTCGCCTCTATAGGCCCCGTACGAGCCGCCCGAACCGAGCAGCCCGAACCGAGCCGCCCAGTCCGACCGAGCCGCCCGACCCGAGCCGCCCAGCCCGAACCGAGCCGCCCAGTTCGAACCGAGCCGCCCTACCCGAGCCGCCCAGCCCTAACCGAGCCGCGCCGCCCGAACCGGGCCGAGCCGCCCTACCTGTACCGAGCCGCACCGCCCTACCTACCCTTTGCGTACGGAGCGGTTCCGCAAGAGGTGGAATCTCACCGTGCGCATGAAAAGAAAGGTGGTGCAAAAGACACAGCAGCGTAAGTGCCTGTCCGTGCACTGTCATCCTATCGTGAAATTTTATCTTGTATTTCAGTACTTTCTTGCCCATGTTTGTTTATCTGTAGCGGTGCTCATCCGCCCTTTTAACC